ACACCCTCTAAGGCAGTGAAGTCCTTCTGGCTTTGTATTAGTTTCAATTGCATCTGAAACTGACTTCCCTCAAATGTTGCATAGACAAGCTAACTTTTACGGCTGCTACTGATCTTGTCTTGCTCTTTATATTCAGATCGATTTTATTCTTCCAATGTCGTACTTTTCAAGTGCACATATGAAAGCAATAAACAGCTTACGGGTGTGGTCAGTCATTACGGAATTCCATTTCTCTGTCCTCTATCAGCTATGTGTAACGATTTCGGTTGATTGGATTTCATACATGATACTTAATCTTCCCATATCACTCACTCGTATATTATACATTATCCTTACCTTTCTATTTTTCTGTCATTATCCTATTGTTCTCCTATATCGGCTCTCTCCTTGGCCTTATCTCCTCTCTTTTCATCCTCTCTTCTTCTACTTGCGTATACAAGCGTGTGCTATGTATGTAAACGATGCGATTATATGATATGAAGGAATAGAATAAAGTGTAACTCCATCCATACTATTATCCCTTCTATCAAAAATCGTCACACTAGGTTTTCATCATGACAAATGCAAACACTGAAGTTTACACATAAAATAAAGATCGTGTATGCGTTCGAAAATTTATTTTCTGCTGTAATATTTTTCTAATCAAAACCTTCAAATAATTCTGTTTTTGCGTGCAAAGTACTAATGAATGCAAGTGCAGATCGACTGGCGTAAATGAGATTTCTCTTCTGAATTTTCTTATAATTGCTGGGAAGCTTTGTCAATAGCTCCTGCATCCCTTTTGTCCTAATTATAATATGAAAAGCTAACTAACTTAAACAGCAATATCGAAACTCGCACATTCATGTGGTTGACGTCAATGGCGCTGGAAAATAATTATTATTTGAATAACACTAAATCGAGTTTTGATACTTCAAATAGCTGTTATTTTGTAAATCAAAAATAACGTTTTGTGCAGCATTCGACGTTACTTACCTTGTTCACATGGGATTGCGTCGCTTACCTCTGTGTTTGTGTGCGCTTTAGGATGATAATAAGTGGCAAGATATCGAGTGCGGTATGTTGGTTTTCGAGTCAAATATTTTGACCTGAGGATAGTAATGAGTTGTTCGTAACATTCTTGAATCTAGAATCCAGAATCTAGAAACGTGTTTGGCAACTAGTTGGTCAATATTTGATGCTGTCACGGGTTTGGGTCTACGTTGGGTGTGGGTGAGTGTGGATGTTGTTTTTCTGTTCTTAAACACCCATATTCCACGCCCTTCTTACTGCATCTATTACCAAAAGACGTAGAGTCACACGAAATATTCTAATTTGAAGTAAAAGAAAGAAATAATACTGTCAAAACTTCATTGACGTCGCTGCACTTGCTACTGTTAATCGGTTCGATCTTCTCCTCTTTCTTTTTGGTATAAATATTGGAGGATTTCCAAGGGATATATTGGTAATAGTCCACTGAAATTTCGCCAATTGGCGAATATGAAGGCGGACGAATTAGCGGAAGTCGAATAGATTTTCATTAATGGAAGTAGAACATTCATATCGTAAGTGATGTACAAGAACGATGCCTAGTATAATAAAAATGTACCTCAAGTCATACAGTTAAGAATATAACTGATATCAATCTCTCTAACCAATACTACCGTTCTACTTAAATTCGAGAAGATTCATTGAAAATTCGCCAATTGGCGAAAGTACAGCGGGTATATTGGCGAAAGTCCAGTTTACGAAATTCCTATTGGCGAACGTCCGGTAACCCGAATAAGCAGCGTTGGGGGTGTGGATGTAGATTGTGAGTGTGGGTCTAGGTATTGGTGTAGGTGTAGGTATTTATCTCACAATGACCCACACCCACGCCTATACCATACGCTTGTACAGGATTGCAAAGTAGTACATTGCGCAGAAGCAGTTGAATATTTAGTGCAGCATCAAGTGAGTCATACAGATGAGCGTTATTTCTGTTACAACTGCGTATCAGTCAGAAAATCAGCAATATTATATTAAGGGTATGGTTGGCGTATTGGTGTGCGTATGTGATGTGGGGTGTGTGTAAGATGTGTGGGTGCGGGCGGGTGTGAGCGTTGTTGTAGATGTGGATGTGCAGGCGTGGGTGTTAATGTGTGGGCGATGGTGGGTGTGAATGTGGATGTAGTGCTTCTCTTTTCTGACATACACATACACACACACCCTACAGTTGCGTTATTGTTATAGTTTTCCATTAATTTTAATGAATTTGAAAACATTGAATAACTAAAGTAGTTAGGTTATGGTTTCGTTCTAAATTAACACTATAACATGTATAGTATTTGGTTATGATTTTGATTATTAGTAACTCCATAGTAGGAATAGTGTGCCTATTATGGTTTTAGTTTTTCCTAACATCAGATTAGGTTATAATAATTCCACTTTTGACCATGGCTGAAATATCAAGACTTCTATTCATTTAATAAAAAAATAATACATTTTGATATTCATATTGTAGCACTATATTTTTGCTATAATAAAATCCTAGTTTCTTGATTGGGATGATCTTGCTCAGCAACATTTTTACACTTTATACGGATCATTACAGCTCATGTGATTGTTGAAATATGAACTCATCAGAAAATTTCATTCTTCTTGTTGATCAATCTTGGTACTCACTGTATTTCAAACTCAACAGTTGAAGTCAATTATTGGAATACTGTTTACCTGATCAAAGATCTGACTTTTCTGAAATTCCAAAAGCGACAACTTGTGTGTGCCGTCGTGGCAACCTCACTAAGCGAGATACCCTTGTGTGCGTGCTTTCACAAAAAACGTAAATACCTGAGGTCAGTACTGGAAAATTCAACTTTTCAAATCTCAACTATTAAATAATTAAACTTAACGGTGAAGTTTGACATATATGAGGAGACAAGGAAGAAACCATGATTATTAGTGGTCAATAGAAAAGTTCGTAGACGAAAAGGATTTGATTTCTTATCTATCATTAGAACCCAATGAATAATTTTGAACCATATCAAGATTTTGTGATTTTAGTATTTGTAATTGTGCATCATTAAGACATATTTTATCAGGCTTATAGTTTTTAGAATTGATAGCTTGAGTACTTAGTTACGTTTAGACAACAAGCACAGCTCGATGTCTTAAAATGGAAGAAAGATACTGAAAGAAGATCGTGATTCATTGTTTGCATCAATAATTTTGAGCGCGACTGTAAATTAGCTAAATTTTGCAATAATATTATTAATTTCTATCAACATATAACTAAGCCACAAATTATACATTAGAATAATGAACGAAAACGATCAGCCATTCAAAATACAAAACATCGAAGAAGAATATCCTTCAATAATTTCATTAAAAAACGATTGATACGATATTCAGCGAAGAAAATGCTTATATTTTTAACTAGAAATACAGCAAAGCAAAAGAAAAATAAAGATTCATAAGATTATATATGTGCAACTCTTCAATGCATACATTCTTAATGAGCAACAACCATTCGCTAATATTCAACTGAAGTATGTTATAAATTTATGAGCTAATTGAAAAACTGGTATTTAATGAAATACTGAAACGTCAACACATATATTAGATGAAATTTCACAACAATTGAAAGATTCTCGAGTATAGGTGTTTAACTATATGTTTTATTACGGGCAAATATTGATTTGAATGTTCCAATACAAATTTATATTGAAAGAACTGAATTATAGAATGAAGATTTAATACAGCATTTAAATCTTATTACTATGGACGACAAGATTTTGTTACGACATATATTTATTATCTTAGAAGGAATTGAAATTTAATTACCACTAAAAACTAATTTGAATACTAATAACAAGAGTGATCATGAATTAAAAGGCCTTCATAATTGTTGTCAAACCAAAAATAAAGACATTAATCCATCAAATACATTCATAATAAGGGTATGGGTATTCGTAACTTTCTTTTACACACCAAAAAACTGAAAAATGCACTGCATACTAGATTCGAATGGCGTTTTCATGATGTGTCGCAAATTTCTACACATACGTCACATTTTATTTTAGTGTGATAAGTAGTGAAAATGTTGATTGGATTTGACAAGCATTCGTGACGTAGAATCAAGTTTTTTGAGCTCAAGAAAAATTCTTACCGCATTCAGACCTATCGGTTGTTGCAGTTCTAAATGAGATAGGTATTGTGTAGTTCACAATAGATCTATGAAAAGAAGCTCTGAAATATTTATGTTAATGTTTCGAAGTTGAAGAGAAATCATTGCTTGAAAATTATGTTTACTGAGCATAATCGAATCATAAACATCCACATCTATATTCACTCTATATTATAATAATTAAAAAAAATGTCGTTTTTAGTTAGTTATCAGATGATAAGGATAACATTGTTATATGTCCATTATCCAACGCTAATTCAATTTGATGGAATTGTTTTAAATTATATCGATGTCCTACACTGATAATAGTTGAATAATTCATTAATTCTTGAATTAAGATAGAATAAAGATCTGTTTCCGCTTGTTCATCCAATGATGATGTAGCCTCATCCAAAAACAACCATTTTGGTCTATGATAAAGGATTCGAATGAATGCCATCTTTTGTTGTTCACCTAGTGAAAGAACTTGTGACCAATCTTGATTTTCATCAAGACGATGACACCAACTATTCATTTGACATAGATTTAAAAGATGTTCAATCTTTCTATCATCTTCCGATGAGAACAATTTTGATGGATAAGTCAAACAATGGCGGAGGGAACCAAGCGGGCAGTACGGCTTTTGAGGAAGAAAGGCCACTGTATCGCCAATAGGAAAAGTGATGGTCCCAGATCCATATGGCCATATTCCAGCAAGAGTTCGTAGAAATGTCGATTTTCCAGATCCACTACGACCTGTAGCAAAAACAAGACGTTTGAATCAAATACGGTTTCGATATGAACATACATCAATTGGTATAGTTCAAATAAGAGATAAAATATAAACTTAATTTAGCAATAGTAAAAGTATAAGAAACCTTTTCAGCTACAAAACTCAAGAAAGTTGTGTCTTTATCGTTTACCTGTAATAAGTACAGCACGATGAGATTCGAGCACTAAATTGAGATGATTCATGAGGATTCGACCATTATCTTTATCAATTTTCAATGGTAATCGAATAGTTAATTCTTGAATTCGCATAAATCGTTCGTTTGGTAAATAAAGAACTTGAATCTCAGAATTTTGTTTAGCTGTATGTAATTCATTTAAAACATATAGAAATTCAGTCAATCGTTTTGTAGCTGATCGCCATTGTACAATAGTGGCATAGGAATTTGGTATAAATGAAAGTGATTGATGTACACTGTCGAAAGCCATTGATATTTGTAATAAATCACCAAGTGTAATTTTTTGTAAAAAATATCGTGGAGAAGCAACGAGAAACGGGAAAATAATTGCTACGACTTTGTAGAATGAATTAAACCAATTGAGAATAAATTTGCGACGAATAATTTGATACAAATTAGATACTATTTCAAGATACAATGATATCAATGATGCCTGTTCATTTGATTCACTTCGATAGAAAGCGACAGATTCTGTATGATCTCGAAGACGAACAAGTCCATATCGAAAATTAGCTTCACAATGTTCTTGTGCATATTTCAAATGAAATAGAGCTCGACCAATTAAATTAGTAATCAGAGTACCTGAACAAAACGTTCAACTTTTAAGTTGATATATACGAGTTATTCGAGAAAGTTTCATAAAATCTTAAGAAACTTGAGTAATACGTTACGAATAAAAATAGAATGTTTGATTTATATTTGAAAAATTCTTCTTCTTCCTGGAAAATATTCGCAAAACTGAAAATTTTTGGACACAAACAATGAGCTTCTCAAAGAAGAAAAACTTTTAGAGATCTGAGTTTTTCTTTAAAAAAATTGTCCTAGAGGAACTTGCTCCTTACCCATTCCAGCATAGACAAGGGCAGACCAAACCATAATTCCTTTGATTTCAAGCGAATGAGTTTGAGAAACTTTTATTTTGATTACACCCGATAGAGACCAGAGTACAATGACATAGGATAATAATGTCACAAATGCATTTAAAAGGCCTATTGCTAAGGCATAGATAGTTTCAATATATAAATTAATATCCATTGATATTCTTTGATCTGGATTATCATTTGGATCATTTATTTTTGAACTATCATTTTTTAACAATGACATTTGATAATAAGCATGTTTAGATAAATATTTGCTTAGAAAATCGTTCGTTAACCAACGTCGCCAACGAAGTTGAAGTAATTGTGTTAGATAATCTTTGTAAACTGATACGATTATGATTGCGATAGCAATGAAAATGAAGTATAAGAGTGAACGAAGAAAGGCTGGTCGATCGTATCTTTGAAATGTATCAATAAAATCTTTGTTCCAATACGTTAATAATACATTCAGACCGATGCTTAACAATTCCATAATGATCAAAACTAGAAGCATACATCGAGCATACATACGCTCTTCTGAGAAGAAATACATTCGAGAAAGACGCCAATTATCCTCATATAAAGAAATCAAAGCACGCATTCCGTTTTGGTAAAAGAAAGTGTAAAAACAACAATAAAAATGTACAGAACAACAATCAACTTTTATATATATATATCATTCGCGAGGAACCTATCTTTCTTTTTTCATTCCTACAATATTTTCCTGTTCTAATCAATACGCCATGCAATAAGAGACGTGTAGCGCACTCATCGTTTTGTGTTTAAGGTTGTTTACGCTATTGCTTATCTGATCGAGTAGTAATTCCGTTCTTTTGAATAGAAAAAAAGGTAAAGTTTTCTTTCATTCGTGTTTCTGCTTGAGTAAAAACGCTGATCTAGAAGTATTCCAGAGTTTCGTTATAGAAAATCTTTTTTTTTACATATGTTCTTTTACTGTATGCATTACAACTGAATTTTCGTCATGAAAAAGACCTATGTGTCGATTAGCTTCATCATTGTTTCAATACTCGCCTTCGCCCACTATCTCGTTGTTTTTTTTTGTAAATTTTTCAATTCTCCTCTTTTGTTCTAGTATTTGTATATCTTCTTCTTGTGTTTTGTCATTGATTCAAAAATCATTTGACGAATAAGGGTGCATTCTATCGATTATAGAAGAGAACTGAAAGGTTACACGGAAGAAAAAGAGAACATAGTTCGATCTTTTTTAGAGCCTTCTCATGAAAATTTTATTAAACAGAATACGAAGATTTGTATACTGTTTATCTCGATCGATTCGATTCATTTAATTATGACAGATGAAGAATAAGTCGAAAAGAAATGTTTATTGACCATTGATTTCAGGTTCGATTTATCAATCGACTAGATATCATTTTATTGATACTTGGCCTTATGACTGCATTTGGAAATGGAGCCTTTGCCCGTCTAATGATGTTCTACGTTGCAGTTATCATCGAAACATTCTCTGATCAGTCGATAAATTTCTGCAAATTGAACTACACTGTACTCAGTATATAATATTGAAAATCAGGAATTCTATTAATATCGACGAACTATATTCAAGAATCGAAATAATCTGTTTCTCATTTCAAATGATTCAATTGTACCATATGTACGATCTGTCAACAAATGTAATTTAAGTGAAGCAACGAAGTAGACTGTTTCGATAGGCATATCAATTGAACGATCACTTAGTCTTCTTATAGTCATCGGTTGTGTTTCGTTCATATTTGCTTTTGTTCAGACGAGTTTTAGTTCGTTGACATGTGAACGTCAAGTGAGACAAATACGAGAACAAGTCGTTCGTGTTCTATTAAATAAAAGGCTATTTGTGTGTGATGGTGAGTCTTAGTTCTCTTGATCAACATCCAGATTCTTGGTGACATAATAATTCTGATTTTTGTGCTCTTATTATAATAGATTCTTTAAGTAATAATTAATATAAACTATTTATCGCTCCATAATATTCGTGCAGTTCTTCGACTGATATTATGTTTCATTTCTGTTAGATTTTGTGAAACTTTTAAGAATGAACATATGTTGCATCAATTGTTTTAATATATGATTGGTAAGAATCTTTTTCTCCTTGTAACCGAAAAAAGAAAATATTCACCTCGAATGTTTTTTTTTAATTGAAACTTAAAAATGAATGGATGCAATGACAAACAAGGATATATTAATTCAATAAAATGACTTGAATAAAATAATCCGTATTTTAGTAAGAAAAGACAAAGAAATGTTAATATTTATATGAAGAAATTAAAATATGAAAGTAAAGACTAAATAATTGTAAGTGTTCAATCAAATTTTAAAGTTTAAGAATCGAATCGCTTAAACCAAGCCATCTTTTGTATGTTCCAGTAGTACTTGGTTTACCTAAAAGATAAAGATTTTATTTAATTTTGTGCTTATATATATGTAAGAGCAAACAGATTGACCCTTTTTTGTAAAGTAAATTTGTGCTCATGTATGTGAAAATCATACAAATTGCTCGCATCTCATCATTATTATTTTAAATATTCATTGCTCAATATATTGAACCATTACTTTGAATTAATTCTCCAGAAACACAAATAAAGAAGTAATTCATATATTATAACGAGTCTTTATTGATATACAGTCGTTGATCGTATTTCAACAACGTCTGTCATGGTTTTTGACAACGAGGAAGGCGTTGCTAAGGTGTTTGTCATGACCTGCGACGTCTCCATGGTAATGTCAGTCACGATTTGCGGGGACGGGAGTGAGGACAATTTTCTACTCTCTATACTTCAATACCCCTTTTAGATCGTGTTTCACAAAAATACTTACATCGTGGCTTTTTATAAGTTAAATCTGTTGGCCAATAAGCAAAACCATCTTTAGCATGACGTTCATAGCGATTTGAATATTGTGATAAAGATGGTCGATAATTAAGTTGATCTGTTGCAGACCATGTCATAGAATCTAATGATTTTGTTGTTAAATTTGGTGTTTTATTTGATAAATCTTGAGTTGATGATGTAAATGAATGTTGTGCTCGAATCATAGGAGGATAACCAAAACGATGCTTTGGAGATTTTACATTATCATCAATTCGTACTGTACCTAAATAGAAAAAAAATTAAAAAGAAAAAAAGAAAACTATTTTATAACCATCAATAAATAAAAGATTTGCTGCAGAATATGTATTTGTTTGTTTGATATGAGGCCAATGACCTCCGCTACGACCAAAATGCATTCTAAAAAAAATACAATAGCATATCTTCTATTTACTACATTTTTGTAATTATTATTATTATTATTACCTTGGAGTACTACTACTAGTTCTAATAGGTGTTGTTAAATTTTGTTTCAAAGCATCACGATAAATCATGAAAGGATTTAATGGTTCATTATCAATATTGTTCCAACCATTGGCGTGTGCTGATGAATTAAAACAGCAATTATTACCAACAATATCTCTTTAATAAATAAAATGAAAAATTTTCTTTTTTAATCAAATCTATTAATACCGTTGTGTTTGAGGTAATGGTGGATTGTTATTAAATGGTTTTATTTTTGTTGGAACAAGATCATCATTACTTCCATGATTGTCATATATTTGTTGTTCGTTTACATCACCGCTGCGATAAAGTGAATCTGTACTTCCTAAATGAAAACATCTTCGTTAGTAATCAATAATATACCTATGTATTTACCTTGAAAGCCATTTGACGGAGAATTCTAAATAATACAACTATTCGATATATAGATGCAACATTTAATTTTTTTTAAAATTAATTTTAAGATTTTTGACAAGGGTACATATTTTAAAGACAGAACAAACCTTATCAATATTTAATACAATGGTCGGCCCTCGTTGAATTTTTGATGGTAGAGTAGGCGCGGCCGGTTTATAACGAAATGAAGGAACTGATGATCTAAAAAGTTAAATGATTATCTCACCTGTTCGAAAGCTGGCCAATAATTTTTTCGTGGACTCGATATTGTTGAAAGATTATTTAAACTTTGAGAATGTCGAAGTCCACCTAACAATCGATATGGAGCCACTTTTACTCCGTCCATTTGTTGGCTTCTCGCAGCTGATCAAAAACACCAGTGAAAAAAGAGAAATTATTTGTTGTTGTTTCTCTTGTTTTCGTTATTTTTCACTCTTTTATTTATAGTGATCCATTTGATGGTAACGGTGAAAATAGTTTTAAACCCATTACATATAGCAATAAGTTTCTTTTTCTCTCTCTGTTTCTCGCTCGCTGTCCCTGGTTTCTTTTTGTTGTAACATTCAGATTGAATGTACGTTAGATGCAGAGAGCATTTTCAAGAAGAGAAAAATTCTTTTGTTTTTTTGTTTTTAACTTACTTAGCTCGTTGAAGAAGATACGTGGTACCATAACGAGAACTTATAGTGTCTGTCATGATTGTGCAGTGTTCTATTAAATGAAACACAAAAGTATAATTACTAACAGAATTTAGTATGTGATTAGAAATAGAAAAATCAGACTGATTTGTGTTTCAGAGAAAATAAAAAAAGAGATTTGATAAGTTCATCTCTATATTTTTCTTCGCTACGATGTGATAAACTACATTTAGCTTATTTTTGTTCTTATTCTCTGTAACATAGAAGATGCTGACTAAACTTTACCCCGCTTAATTGTTAAGAATTTTTTTAATATGTCGTATTAATCGAAAAGACTGATGTTAATAGTATACTATACTTTTTATAGAATTTTTTTGAAATATTTTTAAAGCTTCTTCAAGTATCTTCGAGGAAACATGTACGAACTAAAAGAGCTTGACAAATAAAATATTCCAAATAAAATAAACGACATTGTATATAGATTTTCATGTATATATTCTCGATCTTGTACGATTCGATCTTTGTCACACGATTTATATTTCATACGAAAAAGTAGTTTCTCTTGTTTTTTGCCATTTATTTTCCTAATTGATCGTCGTATTCAATTTAATGTTTAGAACTCAACAAGAAAAAAATTATTAAGAGAAGAACAATTCGAATATGAAAATAAATTTAGTAAACAGATGACACTATACATGAAGGTTTATACACGATGTCATTTATCAATCTCGTTTCCTTAGTAACTGTTTCCTTGAGCATAATTGAAGAAGTATTAAAAATAATGCAAAAAGTTTCTATGAAATGTTAAAATGTTTGTATTCTTGCAGCAATAAAAGTTCAATATCTAGCAGACGATAGATCAATACAACTAGCATATCTACTGTTTAATAGATCAGCCTTTTTCATTAATGCAACCTGTAACAAAATTATATTGATTAAGCGAGCCAAAATTTAATAAAGATCCTCCACATATCGTTGATATATTATTCGACTTACTTTTAACAGCAGAATTCTAGCTAAGAAAAAAATGTATAGAATAAAAATGTTCTAACGGATTAATAATATATATTTAATATAAAAAAAACAAGTAATCAGTCACAACACTTGAGTATACATCTCTCTCGTCCTAACAATAATGAGAGATGAAGTGTTGTTAAAAGCAACACTTGCATACCTTGTTTTTTGCCTTTGAATAAATCTCCTATGAAAATAAAAAGAAAAGAGAAAAAGAAAGAAACTTAACGATTTAAAAAAAAATAAGAATCTCATCGAAAATTCGAACTATAGCAGTTAGTCAAGGCAGTAACATATTGTTTCTGTTTTTTTTTTATCGATAACGAAGAGAAGAAAAATAACGAAATAAGTTCTTCTTTTAAATGATAAATAAATTTATTTTAAATGTAAAAGAATTTTAATAGGAAAGAAATTTTAATTTCAGATTAAAAGAAATAAAAACAACATTTTTGCATAAAAAATTTATTTAACAATTGAGATTAAAAAAAACATTAGATTATTCTCAAACGATTAATGCAACATTAACTGGAATATATATCGACTAAAATTATGTCTTGTTTCGATAGCTTGAATTTTCATTTATCAATTGTACATATTATTATAGAATTTTGATATTGAATTTATTTGCAATGATTACAGAGTACATCTAGTCCATTAAATGGTATTAAAATAAAAATTTTTTATGTATAAAATACTATCATTTATAATGAACTTTATTCATCGTATCGATATGATCTATGCGTAGTGATTTTAATTATAAAAGTTTTATTTCACCAAAGTGAAAGATTAGAATTCAAATCATTTTTTTTTCAATACAAAATTATTTTGAATAAATTATAGAACTTTCGCTTTTATGTTTGATTAAATCTTCATGCCAATTATTATGCTATATTCGACATTCTCTCATTTAACTTATATAGAAAATCATGAACAGACAACGATTGTAATTCACATGATTAGTGTAGCGACAGGATATAGGGATTATAAATGACAATTAAAATTGTGTGGAAAAAGAAAACCATCTGGCACATCTATCATGCATTAATTTTTAATGTTCTTTTGTGTATTTATTTCCATGATCACGCATTGTTCTTATTGAGTGAGAATGACGGTCAATTATGATTCTTCCAAAAAAAAAAACATTATAATTTATAGCACACCCCACATTTTTTTTTGAAAGAAGTTACACAAGGTTATCGAGAAAAATTATAGTTATTCAATCTTTTTTTCAAAACTAAACTATTTCGTTTGATTATTGCATAGAAAATAAAAATTTACTTTTTTATTTCATTTTTCATCATAAAATTCTAAAAGAAAGAAATAAAAAAAGAAAGAATCGAGAAAAAAAAGTAATATTTTTTTAATCGTATATGCCTGCTTTCATCACAGCAACATAACCGTGCTGACAGTAGTGTAAACAATATTTCGCGTCGGTAACGTACAATTTCTTCACAGAAAAATGCCTGTAAAAAGTCATCAAGTACATCAATTAAAATTTCGTCTTAATTAATTTATTATTATTATTTATATCTAGCGTGTACACACAGATACAGCTCGTATACGAGATCGAACAAATACTATAACAACAGTAACATCGAAAAAAACTGCTTCGACATCGAAACGACTTGTTGGTGGTGGTGTTCAACCAAGGCCAATTTCTGGTACAACAAGAATAAGTAGTGCAACGACATCAATCATTGTCGGTATGAATCCGCAACAATCAAATTATCCACAACCAATTAAAATTATAACTGAAGTTGATGGTATTTTGCTCAAAAATAAATAATTGAAATATGGTTTGAAAATTTCATTTTTCTTTCGTTTAGACACAAATATTGATGAAGTATTAAATTTATCTGATTTATCACTTATACCAACATCATTTCTTACTGAAATTCAACAAGATGAAGTTTATGAAACAATTTTAGAAGAACTTCGAAAGAAAATGCCACATCGAATTCCACCAAAAATTTCGCCTCGACTAGAAGAAGAAGAAAACGACGACGACGACGAAGAACAAAAACCATTTTCACCTCATCTTCTTGCAATTGATGATGACGATGATAACGATGATGATGATATAAGTATAGGTGATGATATATCATCTTCACCATCAAGTGAAAATAATGCTATATTATCTCATGACGGTTACGATACTGATATTGAAACAGGTACACATTCAATTTAAATAAAATTGTTTTCTTTTTGTTTTCGAAAAAATCATCTTTTTTTAAAATAGAATCTATTGTACAAAATGATCATGATCCGACAGGTAGAGAACAATATCGTGAATTATGTCAACAAGCAAAAATAATTCCATGTTCATATTTTATGGCACATATACAAGATAGTGAAATGATTTTACGTTATCATCAATTTAATACCGAAGATATTCGAGCTATAACGAAAACACTTTGGGTATATGAATTTATTTTGATTATGAAAATAATTTATTTTTCTTTTCTTTTCTTTTATGTTTATAGACGAATCTTAGTGTTGAACATTTATTCTTAGATGGTAATTATTTACAACAACAAGCAACAAAACATATTACACAATTAATTTTAACAAATGATTCGATTACAGAATTAGTAAGTAAGAAAGATTAAAGAAGAAACTGAATCTAACTATTGTTATATAATAGTCTCTTGCTGATAATCGACTCGGTGGTGATGAAGGTACCAAAGAAATATGTAAACTATTAACATTAAATCGAAATTTGAAAAAAATTAATTTATCAGGTATGAAAAAATTTATTACAAATTTATTTTTTTTCTTTTCTATGAATATTAATTATTATTTTAGGAAATAAATTCAATGAACTTGATATTGCACTATTAATTGAAGCATTTGAAGTAAATAAATATATATTTTATATTTTATTTACTTTTTCGGGAATTAATCTTATGTAAATCAGAAAGCATATAAAGAAATTATTTAGAATAAAAAAAATAATAATATTTCGTATATGAATAAAAATGAATTCACGATATTAAAAAAGAAATTATGAATTCTTTTCTTTCTTGCTATTTGAAGTATTTCATTCACATTGTATGATAATAACTGGTTCATCCGTCTATATTACAAAAAAAAAGAAAATGATTTCACCGATTTGTATACGAAAAATTAATAATTCACTTTAATTATAGCAAAGCAAAATATTACGTGAACTCGATTTAAGTCACAATTGTTTTGGTGAACAGTGTGGTAAAGTACTCGGTGCATTTATTAGTAAGATATACTTTTGATAGAGTTTAAATTTAATTTATCCATTGAATTTTTGTAGGCAGCAACGATTCATTAGAATCAATTGATTTGAGTTGGAATAAATTTCGTGGACGAAGTGCCATGGATCTTGTTAATGGAATTAAAGTATGCATAGATATATACAGGGCAGATAGTCTGTATTAATTTTGTTTTGTTGGGATATAACATTGTAATACAAAATTGTGAAGAATAAATCATTTTTTTTCTGTCCGAAAAGGCACAACAAAAAGCTTTATAACGTAAAAATAGGAGATTACTATGATACGAATAAAAGAAAAATTCGATGTCTTTTACAACGACTAGCCATGTGAGTAACTGTTCTAGGTTGCAATCCGAAATACATAGATAAAAAACATTGTTTTCAGGTTAAAATGATCTTTTAATTCTATCGTTTTTTTTTATTCAGTGCTTTGTACATAGTACTAATTATTTTAATATCAAATGAAAGCTGTCGTTGTGACAAATAGTTAAATAAATATGATATTTAAAAACATCCAATGTTAAAAGTGGAAAAAAAGTCAAATAAATATATTTGAATAAAAAAAGTTATGACTAAGATTTTGAAAGAGTGTTTCCATAGCTTTTGTTCTAAATTTTTTTTCTGGTCTTTAGGAAACATTTCCGATCAAATTATTTTATATATTTTTTCAGTAGACATTTTGTTTTCTGTAGAAAGAAAGAAAGAAAAAGCGAACCAGGTCTCTGCAATATTTCAATCTTAACACTATATTAAAAAAAAAACAAAATTAATGTTGAAATTTTGCCCTATCCATTATTTTTCTTTTACCTAGATAATCAAGTAACTATGTTTTTTTTCATTGCTAGGAAAATGTTCGTTTGAAACGTTGCAATCTAGAAATGAACGGTTTAGGACCTGATAGTGGACAAATTCTAGCTGATTGTATTAAACAAAATAGTGCATTAGAAGAATTTAATATAAATGGAAATCGATTGAATACATCAAATGCTTTTGCTATTGCTCAGGCATTATCATCAAATGATTCACTTCAAGTTCTCAAAGTATTCATTGAATTGTTTTATAAGAAAAATTGCCATACGGAATAAATTTTAGATTGCCAATAACCAAATTAATTGTGATGGTGTACTTGCTGTTTTTCTTTGTGTCAAAGCAAATGACACAAATGCATTACGAGAAATTGATTTTTCAGTAAGAATTATTTATTTTTCGAAAGATTTTAAGGACAAATTTTATTCTCTTGATCGTATTGTTTTTTTTTTAGCATACAATAGTTACTCAAGAGACGGTAGACGTTTGTAAAGATATTGTTAAATTAAAAAATGGTAAATTTCGATATCTTATTGGAAAAGTAACACCAGGTATGCGATTTTGAATTTTTTTGATGAGAGTATAGTATTGATATTAATTTTCTTTCTTTTTCTTTTTTCGTTTTAGAAAAACTTCAACCTAACTCTACTAGTGAATGTTATATTAAAACTAATGAAGAATTACTCAATAAACTACGTTCCAATGCAGCTAATGTAAAACCTAATGTTGATTAATTCATTTTTTTTCTGTTTTTCATTGTTAAAAATCAATGAATAAGTTATTGTGAATGTGCACAAAAAATAATAAAATATTCTACCCCGAAAACAAAAAATTGAGAATGTGTGTTTTTGTTTTAAAGAATAACAGACGAAACATTGCTCTCCGATTCATAGAATACGAAGATTCTATCATACTCTGATTACAAAAATGAAACATTTGAATGCCTATCAATTAGAAAAGGAATTATTCTAAGAAGAACACAGTACATGAAATAAGAAAAAAGAAATTTCTAATGATGAAACAGACAAAGACATGCATGTTTTTCAAAGTCACCAGTTATTTGCAGAATTTCTATTCGAAAAAATGATGAATTTTACATCAAAATCATGCCATAGGAATAATTGAAATGGCATCGAAGTTGTGGTACGAAACACGTTAAACTTTTGCTAAAGACATGCCATACGAATGTGATCCAGAAAGATTAGCTAACCATTTTTTCCATTAACGCGATGATCACAATGATATCAACTCTATGTTTTTTTTGTCGAAATGCTCGTTATTCTACTTGAATTCGCTCATAGTTCTCTTTATGCTTATTTATGTTTTTTCACATAGTATATTCAAATATATAATTCTGCATTGAATTGATTCAATTATTTATACATATATATGTTTTTTTATTTGTTGTTGTGCCATCGGTTAAGTAGGATCATGACACAAAAAAAAATATAATAAATAACGATGTATATTGTTAGACTGTTTTCTAATAATGTTCATTTGTCACTTCTTTCTTGAAGATGAAATTGTCGGATTCGTTCTTGTTTATCAGTTTCATCACATAATCTATCCTTCAGTACTGCATTCATATTATTATTGTCATAAAAGTTCCTTCTATACCGAACGTTTAATATAAAGTGAAGGTCTTTTTTCTGTTTGATCCTACTTCTGCTTATTATAAAATTTTTCAACTATTTATGCATCATCCAATACACACAAGAGAGAGAGAGAGAAAAGTAAAACTGAAGGATGAGGAAAAGAAAAAACTAAAGACAGAAAAAAAACAGAGAAGAATGGAATAACAGAAGTATCTCTTCTACTCCTGCCTAGACTACATAATAATGAAGATGATGTCAGGTATCTTCTTCCATAATACCCTTAAGTTTAAACAGAAGGAAAGCCTGAGAGTTTCTTGAAATTATCCAAGAGTGAAGAGAGAAGAGACAAAAGAACAAACACATGGATATTCACTTGTAAAAAAGTGCATGCGCTGATTAGAATAAAGGTGCACACAGAGATAACAAAAAAATGAAGATAAGCGTTTGTTAAAGTGCTCTCGAACAGTTATAATTGCCAAAGTTCATTTTTACTATTTTATTTTATTTTTACACTATTCGATTTATTATCAGTTTTAAATGATAAAGAAAAACTTGATTATGCTGAAATACAAGTGTACATATATATGTACAATGTATGTGTAATATAGAAAAGAAGAGCGAGAGAAACACATGTTACCTGTACAAAGTGAAAGGAAAGAATGACTGACGATCGTTTAATCTGTCTTTATTCATTAGACAATATCAACAATCAATTGTTGCAGCTAAGATGAAAGAGAAAAATCGGATATCTCCTACGTAATAATAAGGCTCGCTTTGCATCACTAAGAACCGTCGTGAAACAAACAGAAAAAGTAACACTTGTCAGATTTTTTTTTTCTTTTGCTTTTTTGCTGTCCTTTAGATTCATAACTAGTAATTTCATTCATTCTTCATCGACTTCAAGCTTACTTGGCGAATGTCTCATGATAACTATCACTTTAATATCTATATTCAGTCTATGCTATTCAACAGATATCTTCAGAGCAAGAGTTCGTTTTGTTAGTGAAGTGTCATTCTCAATTCCACAGCCTCATGAAAACTATTCCTGAGGAAATTACGATTATTTTTTATTGCCGATGTCAAAATTTCATTTTTTGGACGAAATTTTCACTGTTCGCAAAAAATATGATTGATATTGGTTAAACTATAGAAATCAATTGAAAAATAATCTACTTCCCTAATTATTTTTGATTATCCCGCGTGTAATCCGATTTTCATTGATAGTCGATTTTAATCTTGTTCATCGATTGAAATTTGAATCGATGAAAATCGAATTGATGGATTTTGTATTCTGTCGACTGAAGGTAGAATCATATGAAATACATAAAATGAATTTGTAGCTATGCTTGTTTGTGTGCATGCACGTATCTAGTTACGTGTCTGCATATACTAGTGTAATTTATAAAGTTTGTTCAAAGGTAATCAGAGTCAACAAATTCGCAAACACATGCGAGTTTTACATTCCAACCCTAAAGTGACTGCGCTGACGAACTTTTTATGCGCCAGTCTTTACAAACTCATCAATGGGGTTACGAGTGATAGTGCTTCAAGTTACTCCATTGTAGAATTCTTCTGAATTTTCATATTGTGCACACGTTGTTGCTTCAGTTTCGGTTGATTGTTATTGGTTGGCATTGAAATGAACGTCAGATAAAAATCATTCTACAGTATTTCTTTGAAAAACATTATAAGAGGTCTAATCGAATATAGAAAATAGTAGCCACAATCAAACTGACTAAATTAACGCTGTAGCAGCTTCATCAACCATAAATAGATCATGAATTAAACTTTATTTTGGTAAATGTTAAGTAAAAACCGGTTAACCTTGTTGAAATTGTAGTGTTAGCTTCAATATAGACTTGAAGTTAATGAAATAGGATGGAATTGAAATCTGTATCTTAGCCACAAACGCATTTGTTAACTGAGTAAAAATAAAATGCTTACATGGCGTCCAACGGAACACTTGTTGCTATGCGTTTTCCTAAATACTTAAGAGAGAGTTCGCCAGTCAGTCAAAACTAAGGTTACGAAAAAAGTTTTTGGCTTCTACGACGGTTTTTGACTGAGTTATATGCATTAAAACAGGAAGAAGGCTTGAGAAACGCGAAAAAATAACCATGTTTTTGTTTTGTCATTATCTCGGCCATTTTTTTATCCGTTCTGGTCGGGAGACATCTCATTCGAAAGAACGCGTAAAAGTCTACAAAAATGTACCTTTTATTATTTTCTTAAACAAGTCTTGGTGTTAAAAAAGTTTTTTTCACCAAAACAATTCAAATTTTTTTAATCAATTTTTTTTCGATGTAACCTGTTTTCTGTTATGATAAAAGACCTAGGGGAAACTTTAATTTAGTGTGCCTTATAGAGCATTTTTCCCTCTACAAACTTCAAATAAAGAGTTTGAAAAAGAAATTTCAGCAAGTGCCCAAAAAAACTGAAAAAGGCGTACACTGGCATGAATTTGAGCCTTTTTGGCGTTTTTTCTAGCCGATTTCTGTTATAAAAATGACGATTTGATCAAAACTAATATCACATTCCGAATCAGCATACAAAATTGAGTCGGTCTATATGTATTTCAGATATTTTTGAGAAATTGTTTTTTTGGTTGAAAAATTCACCCCTATTCCCCCCCTCAGGGTTGGACCAGAAAATAAATTTCACCAAAACGCTGTTTTCATGGTTCAGACATCTGTCAGTATCTGTTCTATCATCATTTCGTAAGGTTAGAACTTGTTTACCAGCTCTAAAAAACTTAATAGCTGAAAATTAAAACGATTTTATCAATTTCAATAAAAAAACAAGGATATATTTAGTGTTTTCTTTCTTTCAGATACTCAATATAAAGACAGTTGAATATGTATATGAAATTCAATCATATGGGTTTTTCCATGATAAAACTAATTAACACAAAGTAATATTAAAAACATGACATTCTTTCATAAAATCTTTAAAAAAATTGTCATGTTGTATTCTACTGATAAACCTTGATACTTTCAAAAGAAAATTATGTCATAAAGACTATTATATAGAACTAAGCGAAACAAGACGAAACCTAATTTTTATTTATTCTTTATGAATGATGCTATCGTATTCTTCACATAACTGCTTTCTATCGACTGAAGGAAAACAATCAGCTGTTCTATCACATGTCTATATTTTTCTTGTTCTAATCCAATAAATACAGACACTCATTTCTGTATTTTACATATTTATAGATATATCATGGTTGTCGACAGTGGAAAAGGGAATAAACAAAAAGAAAAATACTTATATTACTTTGTGTTATATATTTCTTGTTTTTAGAAAATTCCAATACATTCAGAATCAATAACAACAAATATGAATGATAGTCATACGACTGCATTGGAGATTTTACGCTATTCAGTCAATGAATTACAACGAAAACAAATCGATATTCATCGACATATTGGTCAACTATCAGCTGTAAATTATATTCTACATATGAAATTTATTTGTTTTTTTTTAAATTACTATCTATTTTCTTTTACTGAAGGTTATGTCTGATTTTGAATATCATATGGCACAAGTACGCAATATATGTGAATCATCTAATAATAACAATAATGAATTATGCCAATCTTTATTATTTCATCTTGAATCAGTTATAATTGATACACGATCAGCTTTAGTTGCTTCAACAACAAGTACAAATGATGCACAACAAGTTCATGATCTTGTTCATCGTCTTTATGAAGAAAATCAACGAATAGCAAATCATATTGATAATTTACTAAAACAAGATCAATTAGATATTGAAATAGATGAACAATCAGCAGAAGAAGATCATATTCAAAAAGCCATTGAGCATATTGAACTTGCTTTAGAACAAAATATACATGAACAAGAATTGATTAATAAAGAAAAAGAACATTTTGAAAATAATCAAAAAACTATTGAAACATTTATTCAAACAACTGAACAATTACATGAAGAAGCTTTAGAAAAATTACGAGAACATATTAAAGTGTTACGTGAACAAAATCAATCATTAAAACAATATAATGAACAGATTGATATACTTACAAAACAATTACCGCAAACTTTATTTTTATCAGCTCAATAAAAACATTCGTTTTATTTTTCTTTTCTTTTTAATTTGATTTTTGTTTCTATATAAATTATACCACTAAATCCAAGCATTTATTCTTGACATTTATCCGGATATCACAGTAACATCATTTCAAACCTAACGGTAAATATCTCCATTCGACTTAGTATGATAAATTATCTCTACTTAGCTACATTTCTGGATCACCATCGGTCAATTAATTGTAATCGAAGATCTCAGGAAGAGTTTTATATCTCCCTAACAAAATAAATTAGGGATGTTGGCCTTGTGTAGATCAAGAGGACAGTAGCTTCAGAGTATCATTTTCTAAAGTCTGCGTCAAGAATTGACTTGATTGTTGAATTTCTGATAGATATAATATTTTAGAAACTTTTGGAATATCCTATACAATATCCTTAGAATTTCTTTCTCACGAATTCGTCAGTACCGAAATTTTCTAAAAAGCTTTCGATTTATATACCTTGTTTGTTGACAAGAACTTTAATTAAATACATGGATACTATAACTAGAAATATCTATGGATTGTTACTCCAATGATAGAAGATGGTCAACCGATTGTAATGCAGTCACCACTGTGTTAACATATTAGAAAAAATAACTAGCAAAAGTTAGAAGTCTATTAGTTTTAATTATTAAGAAATAACGTAAAAAAAAACAAAAACGACGTATTCTATTTAAAATTCCATTATCTACATGAGACTAAAAAGAATACTAATCAAAAGATAATGAAATAATGAGTATTTCATAAATTTCGTTGCTTGATTAGTAGAGAATGGATAGAAGAAATCGGCTGGTAAACGAGCATTTGGTGATGGTATTTGACCTTGTTCAGTAACAGATGTGATTGATATATCTTGAAAAGTAACACTTTCCATAACAAGTAATGTTTCACTTAATGGATCTGTTGATGCCACTGTCTATAAAAGAAAATAAACATAAGAGAAAGAAAAAAGACAAGAACCCAAAATGATTCAAATCAATGTTCTCTTACTCTTCCTTGATAATGAAAGATAACTGCGCTCAATACAGATTGTGGATTACTAATAGAACCAATCTTTGTATAAGCTATTTGAATATCTAATTTAACATCACACAAACCATTCACACTTGGACTTATCTTAATACCATTTTGACATAGACGATTACTTGGAGATCCTATTTCGGATACACATGATATAACTGGTAACCAATCAGTGGTAATATTGAACTGATCTGAATTACTATAAGCAGCTACATACAAATTAGTTGAATTAATAGGCATAAGTAAATCATAGAGATTAGGACAGGTTGTTTGAGTAGTTGATACACTATATTGAAAAAAAAAGAGATGAACTAATATTCAAGTATCGTTAAACTAGAAATTTCAACAAAAAAGAAGCTTATTATGCTTAGTTTACAAAATCTGACTCTCGCCCGAAGTTTCGGAACACTCGATCATAATTCCTTAATAGTTTTGTATGCAAGTTGACTCTGAATGTAAGCATATATATGACATTATTATTATAGGGAAAAGCTCTCATATTCTATTGAATAAACGAGACATTGTCATTTGCTATCAACACAATAGTTTCAAACATAAACTATCTAGCGATAAAAAATTTCTGAGATATTTTTCGTTCTATTCATTCATTAAAAAACGTATCAATAGAAAGAGTTTGAAAAACTGACAATTGTAAATATGTTTTTGTTGTGAAGATTATAACAGATAGAGATTTTTCTCTTTGACCGATTTTTGTAGATCTCTAAAAAGAAATAGAGACTTCGAAACTTTATAAAACTATCTACTTTATTTTTCAAATAAGTTTAACTATGCTAGCGCCAAATTCAAAACATTAATGTCTATTCATTCAATCAACTGGGCGGTTTCCAATTCGCCCCTAATGCTGATTGATTTTTTTGTAAAACCGATGCCAAAAGCGAATTGTTTAACATCCATAGATAGAGAATTTTATGTTCTTTGTCCCAACAACTTTGTCAAGGTTCACGAGGGTAGTATTTACTAGAGAAAGACTTGAAATTGACAACTGTTGGTGTTTTTGAGAGCACCTCGGGAAATTATGTTTTCAAACCGGCAGACTTGTTCTATGAAAGATTTACTGTTATGCTAGCGGATATAGAATTTAATTCTGAACAGAACTGTTTCAAGATTAAATTGACCATGAAAAGATTAGATTTTTTAAATTAGAAAATAAGGGTGACATAGATCTGTCAGAAGGATCTATAACAATCGACTTCAAGGCCAATAAATAAAATCGGCAAAAAAGAAAGATTTCTTAATATTTTAGAGAAAAAATTCCGAGAGATCTGGAAATTAACTGACAATCTATTCAAGGACAATATTAGAGATGAGTATAAATGCCAATATTTAGGAAACTCTTCTAATTGAACATGAAGTCTCACACGAAAGTGACTAGCAATTGCTTTCGATATTTTCCATAATTCATACTGTTTTTCATTGTTTCGGAACTTCTGTCTGCTATAGTTTTCGCTATTCGAACGAGCGGGCGAGATCTTCTAAGAATTTATTCTATGAAGTAAATCTTCATTTTAAACATGTCACTCTCATCATCGCACAGTACTGTATGGGATTTAATCACACATTTGAAGAGTGAAATTTGTGGAAAGTGAGTTAGGGCTCACTTTGCTGTCAAATGTGTGATCAATACCTGCTTTTTCCTATCAAAAAATGATTTTGTCCGATACCTTCGCTTCTGTTACTTCCAAATATTTCTTCTTAGCTTGTGAAACATGTATCGAGAGATGCAAAATTTTAAGGAGACATTTCGTAAGATAGCTGAGAATTCACTGAAACCTTTATTTAAAAAAATTTTCATCAGTTTCTTTGTTGTTTTTTTGATCGTCGAAATTGAACAACTAAGTAGGTATTTTTCTTCTAAGTTTTGTGCTGATCAAATCAAGTTGTCTGAAATACCAAATCGATCGTTTTGTAGAGCTTGAAATTCTCTATCCTTAAGCTTAAGAAAAAATTTCCTTTTTGTGATTGAGAAACGAGACCAAAGAGCACTGAGATTTAGTACAGTTTTTCCTTCGACACGCATTATTTACAATCGATGAAAACTTCATGACAAATAGCACGAAAAATATCCCAGAAATTTTTCTCGCAGATTATAATCTAATGTTTCTATGTTATATTATTAGAAAAAGTTTACTTAATAATAGATTATTATGAATTGTCACGGTCGATTAATTTAAATCTAAATCTATATGTTGAATAGAATACAAGATATGATATTAGATAACTTTAATTACAGAAAAAAGAGTTTTCGATCGAATGTCTTACTTGTATTTACAAGTAGAACGAACATTTTCACCAAAACTGATTGGCATACGTTGTGTATTAGTCAAGTCACAATAGCCAGTTGATAATGGCTGTAGGATTGAAAACTTTGAAGAACTCAATAGTCTATGAAAAACAAGACAAGTTTTTTTCCTTGTTAATGAAATGTTAATTGAATTCGTACTCGACTGCAGATCCATTTGCGATACCCACTATAAGATTAGCACTTTGAAGATAACCTGGATTACGTGCTACGCCTGATGATGATGATGATGATGAATCATTCTGAGAAAAAATGATATTCAAGACAATTTTAATAATGAAATTTAACTTTTACTTGAATAAATTGAACAATAAATGTTTGTTCAAAAGTTGTACCATTTGCTGGGTTATCAGTTACTGGAGTAACAGTCACATTTACTATTCCAGTTGGATTTGAATAGAAAATTTTAATAGTTAACTAGAAAAAAAAAATTTCTAATATTATTTAGTGATACATCTTTATAATCATACACTTTTAAGAGCACTTGAACAAGTGCCTCCAGCAAAATTTGCCGAAATAATATTTGTCCTATCACAAATGTATGTTGAGTTATCTACGAAAAATACAAATCATCACTTGTGAATCATAAAACATGAACAAAAAATACCAAAGGGTGCTGCAGGAGACTAAAACAAAATAAAAATCATAATATAGAAAAACAACTGAAATGTAATTATGTTTTCTATTTACTCTAATAAGACAAAGAGGGTTCATATATGTCGAAGGATTAAGAGTTCCATTACATGTGCCTTCAGTCACTAATCGACTACACGCTGATGTAAAATCATTCATATAAGCTAGAGTGATAAGAAAAAACAACAACATAATAATCAATATACATTATTAAATCATTATATAATACATACTGATCGATTGTGATCCAGAACACAATTGATTATTGAATAGTTTCACTGGCAGAGAAAAATAAATCGGTGCCTGTCTTGCCATGTTATATGTCAGTATCGACGTACCGACCTAGAAAAATTAAAATTTTTCTTAGAAACAGGCTTAACAATGGACTCCAAGTATTAGCGTAACCAAAGGAAGTTGAGCTTATCCCCTCTCATCATTATCGATAGCAGCCACACTAGATGAACGTTGCCATAAATCTCTGCAACAGACAGAGCTCAGTTATCTGAGTTCCCCATCCTCCGCACCAGCTAAATTCTGGTTATGTCATTAACTTCAAGAAGAAAAGCTGCAAGTATAAATGTTGCATCATCACTACAGAAGGTAGTACTTGATTTCCAGAATATTTCACGCCTTTAGTTTATGCTAAAATCAGACTAATTAATCCAGCATAGATATATTCAATACAAATCTGTAGCTTATGTGGAAGGATGGACCCGTAGTTGTGTTTAGTTGAGAAGCCCAGTAAAATTTCAATATCTCAAGAACGAAGGTTTGGAAAACTAAACCATCCTGAACTTTTCTTTTATTCTCTAGCACTCATCAAATGAAGATTGTCTCGATCGAAAAACGATTTGACACATGAAAAGGATTCCTCGTTAGATGACATCTTTATAGAAAAAACTAACGAAAATTTCGTATGCATTCATCTTCAACATTTATACACATAGTATATTGTTTTTGGTACAAATTTTTACTTCATAAAAAGTAAGATTAGTTGATAATCCAGATGGTGCTGATACACTATTTTCTCTATTAATTGTTCGTACAAAAGAACCCGGATCCAATGTTTGAACATTTGGTTGTTGATAATATTGACTTCCACTATCTAAATTCAATAGGAAAATTTTTTATCGGATCCAAATTTACAAAAAAAACTGTAACAAACATCGTTGAAAATCTATACAAACAAGTTCGCCCATTTTTTGAATAATATAGGGTGAATTTGATTCAAATATGGATAGATTTTTGTAACATGATGGTTGAACAGTAGATAGAATTGGTGTTGTACTAAATAAAATAAATATATCGAATTTTTAAAAATCGAAACAAAACATATATGCTCGAATAAAATTTCTATGTCATTTTGTATAAAAAAATGACGGTAAAACATTTACTTTAAACTGATTATGGATTGAACTCGTTAGCATATTTTGTAAGAAATTTATTGACATAAAAAAGTTTGTTGTATTTAACAGCGAATTAAACCGTTAATATTTACGATAAGAAAATAAGAAAGCAAACGTGTATTTTTAGGAGCACAGACACAGAGTATGAAGTATAATAATCATAAACTTAGCAAGGAGCAACCCAATATTCGAAGGCATTCCGTGTCCTTAACCTCTACATTGGATAAAACGCTGCGGAAGCAATTGATTTATATTACAAAACTAATATTAAGTTATATTGTTGAAACAACAGAATTCTACCTTGAAAGTAAAAATTATAAATGCATGACCAATTTTCTTTCACTTGATCCTCTTGTAAATATATTCATTTTTTTATTGTTATCGTACATCATTCTGTCCTAAGAGTTTTTTTCCACTGTACCTTCATCCATTTTTTACAGAACATCTTTTTAACATTCAATCTATTGTCAAACATCATATTTATTATAAAATAATTCCATATTAGTCTCGAAATGGAAATCTATTACTTTCATAGTACTTGCAATGGGACATCTTTAGATACTTCCTTCCGATTTCAATAGTTTTCCTGTTTATAAATACTGCAGATTGCTCTAATAAAAATACTAAAAGTATTTAGGTTTCTACTGAGATTCGACTAAGCTATCTAATTTTGATTTGAAACTTCGCTTACATAGAGAACTCAAATAGACAAGCTTCTTTAAAACACATCAGAAGTTGCGAACAAGTCTCGTCAAGATATGAAATATTCAAAAAATACATTTTGTATATACTATCCATGACTAAACGTCTACAATTTGCAAGGTTCGTATCTTGAAGCGGCTTTGTTCAAAAATTCTGAATTTTTTATGAAAACTACTTTAATTGAGTTTTCTATGTACGAAAAGTTTTGTATCAAAATAAGACTTTTCCGAAAAGCTGAAACTTCTTGAAACGAAATTCGATAGTTTAGTTAAATTTCAATAGAAATTCAAATCCTTTTAGAGTTTATATCAGTATATATAGGCAAAAAAAAACCATGGAAATCGAAAATTTGAGAATTGTTAATCTATTCTATCTGATTCTTGCATGACTTATTAACATAAAAAAAATAATTTCGCCTCGAAAACAAGGTTTTTCAATTCAAGATGATGTCTTCGTTGCACATCATATCAATTTTAAATCTATTTAGTCAATTTACTTTGTATATTTATTGTCTCTCGAAGTACATGAAAATGCTTGTTGATCATATGACGTACAATCAAGATCACAACAACATGACACATCGCATTTACTTGCAGTTAAATCACACGTACATGATCCAATATCTGGAAAAAAAGAGTAATAAATAAAAAAAAAAAAAACTAAAATTAATTATTTATTATCTACCTGTATTAACTGGAAATGTTTGAAATTGTACGGTTACATTTTGACAATAAAATTTTGTAGTTAATAATACAAAGATAAAACTAATAAGAGTAAACATCTAGAATTTAATTTATAAAAAAGAAAAATAAAATAGTTTATTTTTATTTTTTTATTAAAAATGAAAAAAAAAAAAAGCAAAAGATTTTATGCTCTACAATGAAAGAAAAAAGAACATTGATTCAATAAATAGGAAATAAAAAATAATTAAACATACGCTTTTAATGAAAGTTGTTCCATTTTTTCATTTTGTTCACGTTCAGTTTTTTGTAATGATTCATATTCTGCACGAAGTCTATCAAATATATATTATTAGTAAGAAATCAATTAATAATAATAATAAATAATAGTATATTACCGCTCAAGTTCAACAACTTTTTCTTTAATTAATGATTGTAATTGTTGTTTTTCAAATTCACGATATTTAGCTGCAGATTTCAACATATTTTTTGCTCCAATTGACTGCATTTTTAAAATACAAAAAAAGAATTAATGAAAAAAAAAAACATGAAACAATTGAGATAAATCATCACAGTATAAATAGATGAAAAGGATAGAGAATCATTCATAGAATGTTTTTTTTATCAGTCATCAAAATCTATGAAATTTTCAAAAGCATACAATCTGCGTAACATTGCCTAAGTTAAGCAGACAATAATTGTTAGCATAATCTCTGTGCGATTAAAATGTGAAATACGATGTAATTGCTGTTGCTAATCATAAGAAGACTGTTTTATTCTATTTATTTTGAAACACGTCTCTTCACCATTGTTTTATTGACTCCTCTAAAAATGATATCATGAAGTAGTTTAAATAGTAGAATGAGCTATTATTCATATACAATGTCTTGTCGAATATCTACGTTTGTTACTATCTCTGTTGGTTATTCTATCCTTCGTTCTGGAATACACTCTGCTGCGAAGTAATCAAATGAATACTGTATTTTTATTAGAAAATCTGTGAGAAAAAGTTTGCAAAATTACCATGATTTGTTGATTCATACACCTCAAAATCAAAAAGGACATCTGGAATTGTTTATTTCGATAAACAAAATGATGAGTGAAATTGCAGAAGAGTTTTCTGATAGTTTTTGTTCTGAAGCTCTTTTTGAGCTTCAAGAAACATCTTCGATCAAATTCTTCTACATATTTTTTTTTACGGTTGACATTTAATGCTATCTAACAAGAAAAAGCGTTGAAATATCTACAATATTACATCGTAATACTCTATTAAAAATAAACTTAATACGGAATTTTTGTCTTATTTATTAGAATAGAAAAAAAACTCACTTTAAGTCTTGCTGCTTCAACTTGTTTTGCATATTCCTCAGTTTTTTCAATTAATGTATCAACAATTTTTTTAAATTCGAGTACATCTTAAGAAATAAATTAGAGATTAGATTGTGAAATCAAATATCCAGTTTTTACTATCAGTAAAATCTTTGCATTCATCACGTAGTTCAGCTGAATCAGTTACTCGTTCTGGGTCGATCAAACGAATTTTATTTTCATCATCAATGAACAAACCAAAGTTAGACAATGCTTCTTCAACCATGATTATTTCTTTAAAAAATCAATGAATAATATCAAATTTCATCGATGAACTACTCTATTGAATGTTGCCTAGCAACTTCAAGAAATCAAAACATCAAAAACCAAAATAATATTCTTTAGAATATTTCTCGACTTCAAACTATATTATTGAGAATATGAATCAAGTCTTGATGTAAAGTTTTAATTCAATATTATAGATGTCACTAGTGGCATAATGAGTGTCGCTTTTGTTTCTTTCATAGGTTTTCAATCGTCTTCGAACGAATATATAATAAAATTAAATTAAAACGTAATTTAAATACGATTGACAAAAAAATCTTCATACATGCGCAATTTATATGATAATCGATTGATCATAACAAACGAAGAATGAACTAAAAAAGAAAATAATTTGAAAAAATGAAATCACATTATTAACAAAGTTACACCCATGGCTATAAAAAAATTGATCAACTACTTTAACTTCAAATAAAGAAAACATGTGATAGTAAAGTATCGTTATATACCCATGTCGGGTGTTTGTCCGCACTACCGACAGTATACTGCAGTGCTCATCAGAACTAGTGGCGTAGTCAAGAGAGAACTACATCGGACACTGTTCTAGTGCCGACGATCTCTTAGTTACGCCTTTAATAAGAACCGATGGTAGCGCTTACGATTTTTGTCTCCAACTATAAACAATTCTCGTGAATGTTTTCTACTCAAGTAAAAGTTATTTATTAGAAAGAATTCATATTAATCGAGCAGAAGAAAAAGACTCAAATTTATTTTGATATTGTTCAATATTCAATGTCTTCATACAAATGATATGAAGAATTAAGTTTACATTTAACATAATTGTCATTTAGTCATAAAGCTACAATGATCGGTACCACTCTAGAAACAGTTGACAAAGCAAAGTAAGTATTAGAACAAATTGATTGAGATACCAACATTTGTTACGTTTCTCTGACAGGAAAAATTAAAAAAATTAGATGTTTCTTTTTGTTTTGCCGATTAATATTTCTCATTTATATTAAAATTAGAACAATTTTATTTTGTATTTTCAATGAATCTATATTCCTTTTTATAAACATAATAAAACAAAATCATGGCAATTTTATTATAACTTTTGTTTCAATTAATACCAATTTGTATACTTTATCAATATATTGTTCTATTCTAAGTACTATAGAGTATGTTTACAACCTTAACTTCTTTAATATCTTATTATAGACATGAATTTAAACAAGAACATTTTGTTTTATATACTTCTTAATCTCATCAATGCCTGGTTTTAGTAATTATTTTGACGTGTTATTCGCGATGAATTTCATTACTCACGCGAGAACTACTTCAGTGGACAGTCGCCATTGAATCTCATTTTGAACTTAGAAAGAGATCTCAGTGAGACTAGCAAAAGCTTGATAGAGTTCAATCGCAATGACCTTTGGCCCCGACTTATGACCGGTTTATTGGGTCTCCGATCCAAAGTGTTTGCCTAAAGATAGTTCTTATGAACCTTAGAGTATCCTAAAAGTTTCAGTCAAAAAATGTTTGTCCCTCGAGTTAATGAATCTGAAACTTTCAGGATATTCTACTTGTCATTAGATCAGTCTATAGAAAAGTTTTAGATAACAATATTGTGATTTGAAGATATGGATAAATACCTAAAGCTGGATCGAAAATCGAGTAAAACAGTCGTAACTGAGCTCCAGAGATCCATGAAAACAAACTCTTTTAAGCTTTTGCTAGACTCACTGATATCTGTCTACGTCTCCAATATGAGATTATACAGCCGATTATCGGTTTGGTTAATGCCCTCGTTAATAAGAAAAATGAAGTAAATCATTCTATAATTAATAATTAAAAATCAATATGTATCTCCTATTGACATAAACTTCTTTTTTTGTGTCGATTATGAAAAATTGAAGTAAATCAAACTTATATTTCAAATAACGTTTTTTATTTGTATATTTAGATTGACGCTTAGGATAATTTAAACTTTAATTTTAATCGCTTTACATTTCTTACATAATGGTTTTTCTATTTATTTTTTGCTGTATAGTTTTTTTTTAAACAATGAAAAAAATGGCCTTTTCAGAACATGTTTGAAGCATCTATACCAAATCAATCAACAATCGTATGTGTAAGAGTGTACCATGCGATAAAGCGTTAGAAATGAAATTCAAATTTTCTTTTTGTTTTTTTTTTTTTGTGTTTATTTACCATTCTCTGTTGACATAGTTGCCTATAAATACAATTTCATTTTGTTGCGAAAGACAAATAGCGTGACATGCACTGTCGAAGAGTATATACGTGACAATGACCAATTTTTCAATAGCACCTGAACCATTAAATAAACTTGTTTGGCATTTTGGTGGTAAAAATTCAGAATTATCTTCATCAATATTTGTTGAAAATGTTGATGGAAAAAATCTTGAACATTATCAATTAAAACCATCACCAACAATAAATTCATACGTAGCAGGAGAAAATGTGAATATAGCTGAACGTTATTTACTTGAAGTATTAGTTGAGAAATTTTCATTGAATTATTTAAATAAATCTATTTAAAAGGCAATAAGAGCACCGGCAAGTGAAGCAGAAGAAAAATGGGACCAATTTGTTCAACGAATCGAACAGGATTATCATGATTGTTCACAAATAAAAAAAATAATACATAATTTAGATAAAACGAAACAATATTCAGCTTTACATTATGCTGTTTGGTATAATAATATCGCTGTTTTAGAAAAATTATTAGAGAAAAAAAGTAAATTTTCTTCAGGTAATTTCGCATTCATATTTTTGATGAAATCAAAATTTAATTTTACTTGTTCTTTCATATAGATATAAATATATTAAGTGGTAATGGTGAACATGTTCTTCATATTGTTGCTCAATCGAAAGCGATTTGGATGATAGATGAATCAAGAGAAGCAAGATCTGCGAAAGAGGTTAGAAATTTTCCATCTATAAATTAAAATAAATATATGCTAGGTACTTAAAGTCAAGACAACGTAGAGATGAAGCATCACCAATACCACGTACAACTGATTCTCGAGTTGAACCTCAAAAAGACTTATCTGTAAAAATATATGAAATTAAAAAAATTTGTATAATTTTTGAATTTTAGAATATGCCAAAAGTACTTCAATTATTATTACCATTATGTAAAAAAGTCAATTACAGAGATAATGAAAAACGAACACCATTGCATGTTGCTGTTTTACTCAATCGACCTATCTATGTGAACATTTTACTTCAATGGCAAGCTGATATTTCGGTAATTTAAAATTTCTTGATTAAGTATAATCATTTTTACAGATTGATTGAATCAAGAATTTCATTGTTCAGATCAAAAAAATCAGATGTAGACATTTGCAGATCACACAAAATCGTACAAAAAAAACTTGTCAATGTTGCTTTTTTTGGGGCTAGAATGTAAAACATAAACGTGTTCTGTAGCCTCATTACACTAATAGAAGGTACGTGAAGTGAAAAATCTCTATCAGGCTACAGTTGTGTTTCAAGGATGATTGGTCCTATTTACTTAGGGCATACCAAAAGTAGTGTCGCCATTATCAAATTTCCTTATAGAAAGGTTGAAAAAATTTTCTTTTTTTATGAAAAGATAGAGCGTTTTTCGCTCTATTTTTCTATACTATTTAATCACTATTCAACTAATGTTATAATAATAAAATTTCGATAAAAACTATTTTTGTTGCAAACCAGCTGGTACAATTTAGATCATAATGGGTGTGGCATAAAAAATGAGGCACTTTTGCATTTAGCTTTGTTGTCGGTTAATAGCTTGTATTAAAAAAAACAAAATATACCATAAGATGTAGTGTGAAAAGCTCTACAATTTATAAAGGACCGTTTATTTTATAGTTGCACTTTTTATTTTCAAAATGGACAAAACTCTAAGCGACCAAGTTTCAACGTTGCGAAAACGAGATGCCTTTTTGGTAAAAGACGAATTTGTTTTTTTCTATCGCATCTTTTTATAATTGTTCTTTGTAAATTGTAAAGCTTTTCACGTTGCATCTTGCAGTGTATTTTGTTTTTTTTTTAATAAAGTAGATCAGGTAATAAAAATATGAGATAAGAAAAAACGAATTCATCTTTTACCAAAAAAGCATCTCGTTTTTTGCAATATTGAAATTTGGCCGCTTAGAGTTTTGTCCATTGTGAAAATAAAAAGTGCAACTATAAAATAAACGGTCCTTTATAAATTGTAGAGCTTTTCACACTGCATCTTATAGTATATTTTGTTATTTTTTAATACAAGCTATTAACCGACAACAAAGCTAAATGCAAAAGTGCCTCATTTTTTATGCCACACCCATTATGATCTAAATTGTACCAGCTGGTTTGCAACAAAAATAGTTTTTATCGAAATTTTATTATTATAATATTAGTTGAATAGTGATTAAATAGTATAGAAAAATAGAGCGAAAAACGCTCTATCTTTTCATAAAAAAAGAAAATTTTTTCAACCTTTCTATAAGGAAATTTGATAATGGCGACACTACTTTTGGTATGCCCTAAGTATTTCTGCATTTCAAACAAAAACATTTTTCTTGTTTTACTGGTGCTCATTCTTTGTATTTGTTTTGTTGCTATTCACTTGTTATTTTTCTTTTTCGTATTCTGTTTGTCTTAGTTTAACAGAACTGATTATTACTCATCATTCTTGACATGTTAAATATTGACTTTTTACAGCGTAAAACTCTAAAATTACACTGATTCGGACATTCGAAAAACGTAGTCCGATCAGTCACATGCCGAGGAAGCCTTTGAAATGTTCTATACCACAATCTAATTCTTGTTGTTAATTGTTTTTGAACGTCTTTTTTCGTTGCTAAACAACTCAGGAAAAGGAGTCCGATGCCTAATGTCTTCGACTACTATGGGAACACATTCAATGAAATCTGCATCTCTAAAATCTTACATTGAATGCTTTTAAAAGATCTTACTGTTACATTGCATTTTCTATAACCCTATTGTAGGAGTTAATGTAAGACTTAAAAGACGAATATTTGTCGTACAGTTATCGTTTGATCTTGTAAAGTCTCACTATTTGATTGTTTGACGTAGGTAGTCAAATAGATTATCATTTCCATTTCTATGTGAAACTTGCTATGTGACATGTGTTGCTTCTTAGGCAAATAATCTAACTATTATATTGTTGGGCTCCTTCCTTCAATTATAGAGTTAGGAAATTAGTACGAAAGCTTTGTAAAGGGTGAACTTACTGAACAGAACTGTAGATAAGTAGCTGGCAAGAAAATTAGCAAACACTACTTGAGTTTTTCTACTGTAAGAATCATATATCAATAGTATCAATATGAAGTATTTGTATAAATTGAACTATTATAAATCATGTTCAATGTGTAAAATCAATAAAACTTCAATATATCCCTCTAAACTTATTTTTTTATTTATTATTCATTTCTAATACAAATAAATTATATAATAAGTATTATTTAAAAACAAATAGTTGTCTATATTTATTAAAGATTTGTGACAAATTATTAAAACAAGAAAATAAAACGTAGTAAAATTTTTCTTTAGGCAAAAAGTATTCTTCAACATAATGTTTTTCACTATGTTGCATTATCATTATGTTCACCTGAAGATAAAGATAAAATGTTCGATATATTTATAAATTCACCTAAAATAAATTCATCTTTATTAACAACAAAAAATCTTGATGGTCATACACCTTTATCAATGGCTGTTGGTTATGGTACACCACATATGATAAATACCATTGTATCAAGAATTGATACTAATTTATTTCGAAATGAATTACCTATATGTATTGATATGCTTGCAAAACGCTCAACAACATTACCAACAGAAATTCTTGAACGATTTCTTCTTGCATATTATCGTCCACAAGATTCTGCAATTATTTTTCATATTATTTGTCATTATGATAATCATGAACTACTTAAATATATTCTTGATTATACACAAAAAAAAACAAATAGTCTAAATCAATTATTAGAACAAACTGATAAACATGGTTATACACCATTATTAATAGCTGCTTATTATGGTCATAAATCAATTGTTGAAATATTACTTGACTGTAAAGCTCAATATCTTCATGTAATGACACATGACAAGAAAAACATACTGCATCTAATTGCACAACGACAACATGAACATGTTTTCAATGTATTAAAGAACAAATTAAAAGCAGATGATTTTTTATTGTTAATGTCTACTCATCCGCTACAAGCAACACCATTACATGATATAAGTAAAACAAATAACGTTGTGTTATGTGATTCTATGTTAAATAGTTATAATGGTGATAAATTATCATTATTTCAACATCAAAATGCTTATGGACGAACAATATTTCATGAAGCATGTGAATATGGACGTTTAGAAATGGTTAAATATTTAACTAGTGATGATTTAATAAAAGATAAAGAAATTAAAATTAAATTATTAGCTACTGGAGATGATGAAAGACGAACATGTTTACATTTGGCAGCAGCTGAAGGTAAAAGTTTTGTTTTTTTTGCAAGAAAATGTCCTCGCATTCGTTCATTTTCGATTTTAATGATGTTTGCTTATAGATATGACATAATTTCCTAGAAAAAAGTCTAAAAGGATTTGGGTTTCTATGCAAATTTAGCGAAATTATTGACTTTTTCAAAATACTCTTATAATCGAGCATCAGGTTTTCGAATTTTTGCCTCGAACCACTTTTATGGAGGGTACCCCTTAATACATCCAGGAAAATTTGTTCTTCTCTTCTCTCTAAATTAATCTTTACATGAAGAAAAAGCAGAATCGCTCCTTTTTTTTCAACATAGTATGTTCGATCGTGCTCAAGCTTTTCTTACAGGTATCGGGCATTATGTGAAGTGCCTACTTTTCTTTGTTTCGAAAAATATTGCATCTTTGATTTTTAGTAGGTTTTATTAAAGAAAAGTTCTAGTAAAAACATGGAAGTAGAGAAGAAGAAACCGAAAAACAGGAGATATCTAGCCGTTGCGGCCCAAACATTTTCTAGAAGGAAGAATTTAGAAATTTGATATCTATGATGAATTTCGCTTTATTCATCGAGATCTATCTATCCTAAAACTTTTGAATATTTCTGATGAGGCATTTTTCAGAAAACCAGGAAAGAAAGGAGTCCCGTTGTGGGTCTTACATGCATCAACATCCACAGTAGATTTCAGAGTTGTTAGACCACGTATCTGTAACATACAAACTTTTCAAAATATCACTTTGGTATAGTTCAATCTCCTTGAAGAAGTATCTATTTTTGGAAAAGCTCATAGATCAGAGATACAAAGTTTAAAAATTCAGAAACTCTCTCTACAACGTGATGTACGTGAGACCTTTCAGTGGCAGAAGAAATTCGCAAAGATAGTTTTCTCGAGAATCTGAGGTTTTCTACTATGGGATATTTGTTGGAAATAGATATATGAAAAATTTGACAACTTCTTCAAATCTCAATTGGATGCTAAATCATTTTAGAGCGTTCACTAAATAATTCTCCATTAGGATTGTGCACAAAAATACTCTCTTTTTTGTCTCAATAGCTACTTTTTCAGCAATCTCAGGTAGGAAATATAAAAAGTTCTTACATATTTGTTTTTAAGCACATCTCTTAAATTATGTTTTGATGACAATGATGAAGAAAATAATTTGTTTAAACTGGTAGAATCTCTGATTGCAATTCTAAGCTTCCAGTCGAACAATTTTCTTTCCGTTATATCAGTTCCACATATCTCTATATTTCGCTTGTTTTCAAAATGAATTTGCTTTTATTGAAAATTTTTCGAAAACTTGAGGATCAAATTAATAGCTAGAAAACTTTGAAATCACAGAATTATTTTGAAAATTTTCCACCGGACAAAACTTTTAAGGCCCTAAGATGAGAAAGATGAATATGAGACCGCCAAATTTTATATCAGACATTCTGAATTGTTGACAAACTAATATGGATCAATAGGGTATTAATTGATTACAGAACATTTGAGTCGACAACTTTTACGTTTAGTCTTGGGAAGATTTCAACAAAGCCAAATAAATACACATTGAACGTACAATAATGATCGGTTTTTCAATAACATTAACTACTTTTAGCTTGAATTTTTTGGATATAAGAAAAAAAAGAATGTTCATCATTATATATTCACGAGTAGAGATGTACAGAGTAAGCTTTTTTCGTACCCTGTACTCGGACTGAGAAAAAAATGTCCAACTCCTACTCTACCCCACCCTGCACATAACAAACTTCATTAATATTAATGCTAGCGTTTGAAAGTACATTTATAATGTCGATGAATCATAAATCCAAATCTGAAAGTAACTCAAATTGTATTCAATTCATTATTGGATTCTAATATCAATAACAAATAATACAGAATAATCACGTAGGATGAATTATTTGGTGTCTTATTAAGATTTACTTTGTAGCAATTCAATAATTTTTGATTAAGGTTTGCCTGAGACATCAGCTCGATACTGCTCTATTCAACAGTTTAGAATACGAATTAATCAAATATATACATATTAAGAATTGAATATCTACCGATATACAAATGATATTGTCAATATCAAAACTTTCTATCGAATTCAATATATTTCTAGGTCATGCTGATGTAGTTGCATATCTTCTTCAAACGCATCTTGTCAATATTGATGCATTAACAGATAAATGTGAAACAGCATATCATTATGCTTGTGCAAATGGATATCGATCTGTAGTTATTGAATTATTAGCGAATGAATGTGATACATTAATACGTAATACTCACCTTTATAATGGTCTAGAATTAGCTATATTAAATCACAATCAAGATGTAGCTCGTTTATTATTACTTGGATATTATGATTGGCGTCCAATGTTGCAAAATGCTCAAATTATATTGGATTCAACTACTGGTGCATATGATACACCATTTCGAAAATTAATACGTTATATGCCTGAACTAGCAACAGATGTTATTGATCAACAATTTACACGAACAAGTGGATTTGAAAATATGACTGTTGATAAACAAATATATGATTATGAATTTTTTGAAGATCACTTAACTGTTAAACATTGGTATTCAAAAGGTATTTTAATATATATTCAAACCGTTCCTCGCCTTCTTCCTCAAAGAAAGTCAATTTTCATGAAAAACAAAAATTTAGATAAATACATTGGAAGATAGCTTGCGGACTGCTTCTTCATAATTAGCATGATTCTTTATTTAGCATCTCCTTTTTTGCTAAAAATTTCCGTTATATTTCTGCTTGAAAAATATGATTTTTTAGTTACAGCAGAAAATCTTTTTCACTCTTTCTGTGTTTATGTGTTTTTGATCGTGCATCCCAGTATTCTTAAAGGACCTTCATTGTAGACAGTTACTTTTGTTTTCTTTGAAAGAACATATCAAGACGCAGGGCATTACAAACTTCTTCTTTTGAATTAAGCTGTTACTCTTATGCAAAAGAATATTATTATAATTATAGTACCATTTTTTGAGACATTGAACTTTTCTCTCCTTAAAAATAAGAATTTAAAAAAAAAAGAGCTCTGTGATATCTTTTACCTTGACATGATCTTTCAAACAGAAAAGACATAAAGTCTATAGAATGACGGTCGATCGAAAATTTTGAGTGTACAAAATGGGCTCTCTCGGTCCTTGTTGTTTGCATATCTCCCTCGAATGTCATGATGTAGGGCTGAAAGTTTTATGCAATTTGAATTTTTCTTACTCAGGATCGGTTTTCGAAGGGGCCCTTAAACAAAAATAATAATAAAGAAAAGATTTTTCTGATATTAACTTCTTATATTTGGTTATAACAGGTAATATAACAAATAATGATGCACTTGTTACATGTTGTGGCATATTTAAATATCGAACTGAATATGAACCATATACAGGTGATTCGTATACACTTGTACGTAATCATCCATTATTTATAATATCTGACTCTGAAAATCAATCATTAATGGAACATTCATTTTGTCAAACATTACGAAGAAAAAAATATTCACAATTTGGTCAATATCTACTTATTCTTTCATTTATACTTTATCTTCTTTATCTAAGTGCTTATACAGCAATTATATTACATACTAAACATCCACAATATTTCTATTCATTAGTTAATGAAACATCAATTTATAATTATGTTTGTGAATCAGTAGCAAATCGTTTAATAGCAAATAATATAACTGCAGCTTATAAAGATAAAACATTTAAAAATTTAAAAATTGGTGTTTATACTTTTTTATGTTTATTTATTGCAAAAAATTGTATTTTGATTTTAACATTATTTCCAAGATTATTTCGAAAAGGTTCATATTATTTAGAAGCTACAGCATTTATTTTAGCATTTGTTTGTGTATTCGACCATGATGAATGGCTTAGTCCTTTAGCACTTCGATGTCCAACTCAATATCAAATTGTAAGTCAAGTCAATATTTAAGATACAGAAGAAATGATGTTTTTTTTTGTTGCATATCTTGATTTTAGCTTCTATACTTTGACTTATCATTTAAATAGATACTGTTAACATTATTAAATAGACTACAGAATGATTGATTAAGGATTATTGGTCTCTCTATATTAATATCAGCAGATTATTGTTAGTCACTGTATGAGAATAATTATAGCGAAGAATATCAATATTAGATAGAGCGCTGTATAGTGATGAGAGAAATCAATCATTTTTGGTTCTGGTTTCGTGCTTAGTAATACATGTATTAGTGAAGAATGCGATATGATTTTCTAGCAGTATCAATGAGCTCGAGACATTTTATATGATCTTTAATGTCTTCTCTCTTGAAGATTCATTACTTTTTAAGTTCACTAATATATCGTCTATTCTGCATGTTTATCACGTCGACAACTCTGTTGTTCACGAAAACAAAGAAGAATTAATTTTACCATCAAAATTTTAACAGGAAAAGTATTGAAATAATTATTATTCTATCATTTTCTCATAAAATTTTAGAACAAATGAGTCGTAAGGATATAAGAGTATAAGGATATTAATGAAAAAAAACAAATAATTGAATTTCTATCTGACATTTAGCCCATAGACAGATCTAATTACTATTGGAATATTCTGAAAATTTCACTTGAAAAGAATGTTTCTTTGTTGAGATATTGAATTTTTAAATAAATTGAATTTTTTGTGACAAGCAACGGTTTATTGGATATTCAATAACTCGACGAAGAAACATTCTTTTCGGCTGAAACTTTCACAATATTCTAAGGATCATTCGATCTATCTATGGTCTAAACTTCAGCTTGAAATTCAATCATGTGATTTTCCAGTAAATATCTAAAAATGACTTGAACAGTCAGTAAAAACAGTCATAACTTGACTCCAGAGACCCATGAATACCAAATCCTTTTTAGAACTTTTCTAATCTTATCGAGACCTTCTTTTTGGTTCAATATGATGCAGGCTACAGTTGGAATAGTTCCTTTGTCAGTATTTTTTTTTCAAAAGAAAATAGTAGTATTCTAAATATTTGATAGGGCGCTATGGCTCTATTGCTATCATGGCTTAATTTGCTTGTCTATATTCGATGCATACCAATAATTGGCATATATGTTGTAATGTTAGAAGTTATTTCAAAAAAATTTGTACGTTTTCTACCGGTTCTTCTTGTGATTATATGTGGTTTTGGTTTTACATATTATGCTTTACTTCAAAATCAAGAAGTTTATTCAACACCATTATTATCATTAATTAAAACAAGTTTAGTTATGTTTGAAATGAATTTTGATGATAGAATCTATAAACAATCTGAAGGTGGTATAAATTATTATCCAGTTACATTTATACTTTTTATTCTTACTGGTTATGTCATGACTGTATTTGTCATTAATTTATTAATTGGTATAAACATATTTTTATTAAATTTTCATTTGATTTGATTTAATTTTTTTGTGAATATTAGGTTTGGCTGTTGGTGAAATTCCAACATTAGTTGAACAAGGTACACTTCTTCAAAGTCGTATTTCTTATGATACATTATCTGATTATGAAATACTTCGTTTACAAATACGTTCAGTGTTTTTATGGATAATATCACATATATGCTGTTGTTGTTCATCATCATTTAAACATAAATTATATCTTCTTGTTGATCGATCATTTTTACATCAACATCCTATTTTATTTCAAATAAATGATCGAAAAGAAAATAGTATATTAAAACGTATTGCTCAATATCTAAAAAAGAACATTTTAAATGAACAAATACAAGAGAATGTTGATGAAGAAGTTAAAGAACAATATGAAAAAAGAAAAAAAACAAAACTTCAACGAGCTGATGATGATGAAAAGCAAGAAAAAAAAGAATTAGCTGCTTTACAAAGTAAAAAGAAACTTAAACCATAATTGATGATGCTAATGTGTTATATGAAATTTATTTTTGTAATCAAACTTTAATTATTATGCAAAACTATTTCTTCGTTGACGTGTGACATCAATGCCTTTTTTCAAGTTGTATTGAATAATAAAAATATGATGAATAAATTCAATTTTTATGCAGAATAATTTATTTAAATGAAGGACAATAAACAATAATCATTGTTAGTAAAAATTTGATATTATAGTGTCGCGTAGAATGCATATCAACTGAATAGATTTAAAAGGCAAGTAGACGATAGTATTATAATATGCATGACTATATTCTCTCTTGATTGGCATTATTCTTTAACATTAGAAGTGTTAGTTCATATACAAACTAGAGATTCTATCGATTTAATATCAACATTAATTGTTATCAATTTCGAGAAATTTTGTTTGTAATTTCTGCTTACTATTTGGACAGTTGTAGAAATCGATGACTTTTTTGAAAGTGTTTTATGCTTGATTTCGATGAAGGCAAAAAACTTTTGAATAATAATCAAAATGATTAATTACAGTGACTGAGAATATTTATATCTATTATTTGTCTGACGCCTGAAATGACGACAAATGTTTTGTTTTCTCGACTCTAAATTCAGTTGCATTTGGTCTTATGCGGAAAGGCCAGCAACTATTCAATCTGCGTTTGAGTCGAGCCTATATGCTTTATGTCGACTGAAGTGAGTTATGAATATCCTAAAAAGAGTTCGTGCCCTTAGTCTATTGCTACAAAGATACTGCACTTTTACAGTATTTTTTAAAAAATGTCATAGTAATAGAAAAACTGATATTCGAATTTTGACTTGAAACTTTGTACAGAAACAGATCTTAACAACAGTAGTTTATTGTGAAAGTCTAGTACCATAGGTGTAGCTTAGGATAAGAACAGTGAGAAGATCTGAAACAGCCACAAAAAATGATTTTCATTCATGCCTGTCTCTATGCAAAGTTTCATGTCAAAATTTGAAAATCAGTTTTTTTCTATTACCATGACATGCATTTAAAAAATACTGTGAGAGTAAATATTTAACATTGTTCAAGATATATTAACGATTTGTTTCGATACAAACATCAAAACATGTTTGTTTGTTTGTGTAAACATTGAACTAAACTTTTGAGTTTTCTTCCCATTAAAATGATTCATGCACACTTATTTTCAAAACATTATTTAACATCAGGAGTTTATCCATTGATGAAAGAAACAATGCAATGATGCATAAAAACAACTTCTGGTCTATTTGTAAGAATCCATTTTTAAGCGAATAACAACACGATATAATATTTCGAAGCACTATTTATTTATGTTATCTACTATTTTATGTAAGATACAAGTCGAGACTCTTAGTCTTTAATCGTCATTACTGGATTATCATGAGAACTGTTCACTTTGTTTTCTGCTACAACATCCGATGAAATTATATCTTTTGCATCTGTATTAAGTGTTTGTGCACTATAACTCGTATGTAATGTACTGTATCCGTCTGATGCTGATAATTCAATATCATGATCAGCCTTAAATAAACAGAAAGAAAAACGATTTAAATGTATGTATTTTTTTTTCCTTCATTAATAAACAAACTTTTTTTTCAAAATAAGCCTCTTCTTTAACACCATATCGAAGCCAATCGCGTATACGTTTAGGTAAAAAACAGCAACATACATCACCAACAGGTATGAGTAATTTTGGATCGACTTCATTTGGTTTAAGTGGATGAGTTAAATAAGATACAATAAGTCCAACAATGAGAACAGTACCAACAGCTATTGGTGTATACCACATATAACTAATTGAATACAAATTAAGTAATGGATTAGGTCTAGAAAAAACAACGAGATCAAAATTTTAATTAAAATTTTAATATTTATTTATTTATTTTTTTGAAAATCTCACTTAATTGATGTTGTTAGTGGCGTTGTAATATTTACTGGAATAGAACAATTAGCAACTGATAATGATAAACGTTCACTTTTCATTTGTTTTTTTGTTATTTGTGCTCCCAAAAAAATCCACAATTGTAAAAAGAGACTTGCTAAAAAACCAATAAAACCACCATGTCTATTGGCTTGTGGAAAAAAGAAACCAAGAAAGAAAGCGCCCATTATTGGACCAGATAAGACACCAAATAATGATAATGCAGCATTAAGTATTGATCCAAGAAAGCTAACAACATATGTTAATAACATAACTACACCTCCTAATATAATTGAAAAGATTTTTGATGCTAAACCTTGTCGTTCATCGCTTATAGTTTTTCTCATTAAACCTTTATAAATATCTTCAATAATAACAGCTGCAAGACTATTTAAACCAGATGATATTGTTGATAATGAACCAGAAAAAACACAAGCTAAAAATATTCCTGGTAAACCTTTTTTGTCACTTAATACATCCATAACAAAATATGGAAATATTTGATCAATATCAGACACATGTTTAGCTGTATATGGATCACAATCAGCATAATATGCATAAAGGATAATTCCAATAAGAGCCGATAACCATATAATAATAGCAGCACCCACTGCATTTATAAATAATGCTTGTTTAGCACCTCGTGTTGAACGAACACACATATAACGCTGCACTTGAGTTTGATTAAAACCATATGTCGATAAAGCATTCATTGAACCGCCAATAAGTAAGCACCAAACTGTATGTCGAACACGAGGATCAAAGCTGACACTTAAAATAACAAGAAAAAATAGTAAACTTTTAATAACTCAAGATCTAGATATTATATGATGTTAGGACTTTTCGTTGTACGACAAATCCTCACAAAATATTCTTCATATGAACAAAATGTTGCAATGTCTCTTAAGATTACATATTTGTATAGGCGGATGTAGATTTTTCTTCGCTAACACCGACATCTATACTTCACATGTCCCGTATACACTCAGAAAAACTACTGCAACCTTTTGTCTATGCAACAAAAAGTTCAGTCATCTCACTATGTTACAATAGTGACAGCTCTAACCGGTTAAAAAATCTATTCAATGATATTTTCTTATTGATGAATTTAATGAGATAGAATTACTGAGCTTTCTGTGAGACTTCATAATCAATGTAAAATATTATTCGGTTCAAAGATGAAATTGATATGGGCAATCGCTTGTTAATTTTTGTCGCTAGCTAACTAAAATGTTGTCTGTTTTCCTTAAACAAGTTTGTGAAAAAATTCCATTGTTATTATATCCGGAGTTTCTTTTGACAATCTGATAAATTTCAATTATAATGAAGTATTTCATTTTGAAAAATTACAGAATTTTGGCAGATATACTATCAATTAACTTGATGAATATTTATCCTAATCTAAAAAAATTTATTCTCTAATACAATACCTATCGAATTGAATTCTACCACCTTTGGATGCTATTGAAAATGCTTGCCTAAAGCCACCAAGTGCTATAAAACCTAAATATTTATATATATAACAGTAAAAAAGATATAAATTATTTTTCTGATCATTTCTTAAACCTTGTATAATAGCAGCAAGAAGACCAACAACAATAACTATTGCTTGTAAAACATCCGTCCAAATGACTGCTTTCATACCACCCTATTATCACAGAAAATTATATTGTCTTCTTTCGTCTTCGTATCTTTCTAACATACCACTGATGAATAAAATGTACAAATTACACCGATTGAAACAACAGAAAGCCAAATATTCAAACCAGTAGCTAAGACAAAATTAAGATGCGTGTTTTTGTTTCTTGTTCAATATTTAGCAAATGACTCACTTTGACTTAATGCTAATGCAGGAGCATATAAGACAATTGCCATATAGATTAACTATTCATATAAAAATCTTAAAAAATAATTGATTTCAATAGATTCTTTACCATAAAGAATGAAAATGCAAATGAAGCACACATGCGTACTGATCGATCAAAACGTTTTTCTAAATACTAGATAAACTATTATGTAATATCAAATGTTAGACATATAGAAAATATACTTCATAAGCACTTGTACAATTCATTTCACGAAATTTAGGCATGAATACTAATGCTGTTATTGTTGAAGCTACTGTCCATGATATAGCTAAAAACAATTGATATGATCATTTTTTTTTATTTAACATACAATGAACAACCATACTTTGATTCAAAAACAAAAACGACAAAATTATAGACAAGTGAACTCTAAAGCAAATTTCCTGTTACAACACTTAACAACTCGAAACCTTCATCACTCTGCGTATCTTTCGAAAGGTTTTGCGCTTTTCTTCGGGCGCCTTTTTAGACTTCATAACAGAAGTTTTATTTTCGAGCGTGATCCAATGTAAAAAAAAAAGTCCAAAAAAATCAGATTAACATCGATTTTTCCGAAATAATCACAAAAAAATCGATTAAATGTCACAATTTTCGATTAAATTCAATGAAATAATGGATTTAAATCGAGTTTTTTCGTCGAAATCCATTAAAATCGATTCTTCCCTAGAAATCAAAATAATCGATTGAAAGTCTAATCGGTTTTAATCGATATTTTACGAAAACTCTATTGAAATCTTTCTTTTCCAAGGAATTGGAATAATAGATTGAAAATCTAATCGATTATAATCAGTTATTCATGGAAAATCGATTTTAATCGATCATATACGAGAAATCTATTAAAATCTTTTTTTTTTCAAGGAATCCATATAAGCGATTAATAATGAAATCCATTTTAATCGATTATTTATTAAAAATCAGTCAAAATCGATTTTATTGAAAGGAATCAAAATAATCGATTAACCCTTTGTGGAACAATACTTTATAAAGGACACGCTTCTATTTTTGTTCATTTTTGAATGGGTCGCGAACACAATAAGATGTCTTGATGCAGTTTTTCTACGATAGGGGTGAGAGGTCTGTGCATACATCTATATAAGAATAATAATATAAATGTGGTCACTCAGTGGATAAACCTGATGCGTTTTTTGGTATACTACATCCAGGAGGAATGGGAATGGTGCGCCTTTGCCGTCTCCACAATATTTGGATTTTCAACGTTGGAATTAAGTTAGGAAAGATTTATAATGGTATTTTAAAGGTTGATTTTGCGATAGTTCACTATTGAATTATGATCCACATCCATACCCTCCTTTGGAGATGATCAAAATATCTCTTCGCCATCTTGGTAGGGGAGTACATGTATGGCTCGAAAACGACTTCAAAGATTTTTTAAAAGTTTTGATGACAATAGCAGCAACAATAAGCACTGCCCATATTAAGTATAAAATGTCAAAGAAATTTCGTCCTTTAGTTGAGCAATGGTACTCAATAGGTGATGATCAATTTTCCTTTCAAGGAATGAAAACAATCAGTTAATTTTGAATCTAATCAATTTTAATCAATACTTGAAGTAATTGCGCAATCTTAACTGAAACAATTTATATACCAGTTCCAAATTGAGTGTATTTGTCGAGTTTTAGCTTGGTGGCAACTTTATCGATTACTACCACGAGGAATCAAAAAAACTCAAGGAAAAAATAGGGTTTCGCGTTGGAATCTCGAGAAAAGCGCATATCTTCGATATTTATGATTAAAATCGATTTTCAAGTAAGGAATCGATTATCAGGTAAGGAATCGATTATGATCGATTATCAAGCGATGATAAGTTATAATCCACCAAGAATGATGATGGTTGAAAATAGATGAACCCATGTAAAAAAAGAAGGAAAAAATCAGATTTCACTTGATTTTCTTGTGATTTAAAATCCATTAAAATGGCACGATTTTAATCGAATTTTTTATCGTAAAAAAATTGCTCTTAATCAACTACTTCATAAAAATTGATTATAATTGATTTCTTTAAGATTAAAAATTCGATTAAAATCGTGCCATTTTAATCAATTTTAAATCACAAAAAAATCAAAAACAATCTGATATTTTGCTTGATTTTTTTTTACATGGGATGTTGAATGAATTATTCATTATCTAGGTTTTTTACGAATGTGAAGTATAAATGCTAGAATGATCTGAATTAATTTTCATTCTTTATTTAGAAAAGACATGAATCTCTACAATCTAGAATCATTCTAAATCCATAGATGACTTCTCTCTATACGTTTCCTTTTATAAACTCTATAAGTTAAAAACTAACAGAAGAAATAAACAAATATTTCACCTTGATAACAATACATAGTTCCATACATATAGACTTCACTCGGTGTTCCTAATAAGGTAATTGCTGAGAGAAACGAAACCATAATGCTAAGAGCTGTTGGCCATACCTGAGTATAGAATAATCAGTCTAAAAGAAAAACAATAATCAAATACTTACTCCCATACCACCATCAGCTATAATGGAAAGCAAACAAACATGATTTTAAATTTCCATCCAATGAATATTTTTAAATAAATACCTAGAAGAAATTCTTTAGCTGAACTTTTTTTTGATTTAAAAAAACCAAATACAGCTCCAATAACAGCCGATGATAGAAGAAGCATAATAAGAAGAATATAATCAACAGCGCTCAATGTACGTAATGCCATTTTCTTCCTTTTTCTTTAAATATACAATAATTTCAAATTAAATTTTTATTACTTTCTTGATTTTGATCAGTACTCTAGTAAAAAAGACAATGAAGGAAATAGCAACAAGACAATTTGTATATAAAGGTGTAGGAAAAAAGAGATAAAGAAAAATCTTAATACAAATTCTTTTCTTTTTGAATGAAACGGCAATCCAACGAATAGATTATAAGACGATGCTATCATAGTATATATATATATATATGTCACAATGATAATGGTGATCTTTACCTATGTGTTGTATTTTATACAGAACATTTTCAAAGACGAAAACACGAACATTTATGTAGAAGTGTAAATATTCAATCATCATCGAAAATAGATAAGAAAAAAACATCACATATATTCCGTCCATTCAAGGCAAATAACTACAAGACGTCTGTTTTACTATTTTGTTGTTTTGTAAAATATGAGAGCCATAATTTACTACATCTAATGTCTTCATACAAAAATAACCTTGAACTACGAAAAAAAAAAAACTTACTTGATGAAAATACCATTGTGAAATATCATGATTGAATATTTTTGTTGTTTTCTATTTTAATTATGTACTAATGTTCTTTAAATATCAGATGACCTCTTAGACATTATAATGTATTGTTTTTACGTCTCATAAATGAAGATTATAACCATGTGATCAATTTGTTTTTTTTTACTATTCATATAAAAGTGCAAATTATAGATAAAATAGTAAATAATACAAACAATTCATTTTATAAAGGATCTCTCCAGGTAAGGCTTGAAATCTATTTTCTTTTCAATCTGGCTCTAAAATGTGTTTGTCAAGTGAAACAACATAAGTTAATGAGGATTCGACTTTTAGAAAATAAAGGTAATCATGGAGGATTTGATAAATAATTATCGAAGTACTCTTGTCTAGCTAGAGATACTTAAATTTATTGATCATTTAGTTCATTTCATTGATGTCCTCTCTACTAAACACCCATGACAGATATGAAACTTATACATATTACAGATTGGTCGATCGCGAGTAGACCAGCTATTACCAGTGTATTTTATTTAGTTTTTTGCTCTTATTATGTCATAGACGATGTGTAGTGGAACTTTATTGAAAATGTACTGCGTCAAACATTACCCTCCATGAATGAAATAGTACAACAGTTCGTCAGTCCAGTATCGGTATGAATATCAGACCGGTACATTTAGATGTTGAATGATCAAAACTAATGTTTGCATTGTCAGTCTTTTGTGAGATTATCAACCAGTGAAATGAATATAACGATAACATATGTTCGACTGTCTTTCGATCCTAATATAATCAATACAACAAGAAACAAAGTGATACAGTCAGCTGCTAAGTTTTACATGTAGAAAATAGAATATCATTCATCTCTATAAGCCTTTAGATGATCGATCTCAGTTATAAGTATCGAGAGATATTAAAGACCACAATGAATGATTAGGAAAAAAAATTCCATTGTGTCGATGATAACAAATGAATGCTGCCAATTCAATCTTCAACTCTTTCTGGACTCATGATGCTATAAAACGCGATGAAAATATCAAAAATACGGATATTGGATTAGTTTATATAAGAACCTCAGAGTATTTATTTGGTCTTAACTTATTTAACCCATTGACTTGTGGCTTATTTTTTGCAAAAATCGAAATTTTTATTTATTTTTTTTGACAGATATTACAATTTTGTATCAAAAGAAAAATATTTGTAACTCATTTTTCTATGACAATCTTTAAAGCAATCAACAATCAATATAGGTACATTGCAGTCAGAACACATATGTCGTGTATTACGTCGAACGTTTTCTTGAAGCAACTATTGTAAAATCGATAAAAAGCTTTTTCAAATCACTACTGAATATGCTAGTGACATCTTTGTTCAACAATTGCATTCAGACACATTTATACTGTTCATATCTTCGGTCTTAGCGTCCGAATTAAACTTATAATTTTCTTAAGATTCACTGTTTTTTCTTGCCTATTGTTTCTAGAGGAACAAAAATATAAAATTTTTGTGAATAAGATCTTTCAAGATTGCTGTGTTCAAATTCAAGCATATCAATTCCACTCACTGCTCGACAATAGCAAAAAGACGTAGAGGTGTTTCTATGTCAACAACAAACTTCATGGCAATAATTTCATTCATTCGTGTGCTTCATTTATTTATTCTCTCAGTGTAACTAACCAATGGCTACTTCAGAACAACCACCTGTAAACGATGATGTTAATGCAGCTGATATTCTTCTTCAAGATCCGTCTCTATCATCAGTCAATACAAATGTAGGTGGTCCACCACAACTGCCACCTCATATATTACAAATAATTGATCATGAACTTAATTCATCAAATGTTCCATCACTTGCTGATATTCAAGCTTATCCAACAACAGCTTATTTCAATAAAACAGTGATTCCAATTATTATTGAAGGTCTATCAATTGTAGCAAGAGAAAGACCCAAAAAACCGATTGAATATTTGGCTGCATTTTTTATTAAAAATCGAGAACGATTTGGCGAAAGTGTTTAGTTGATTAAAAATAAAAATAATATAATGAAACAAAAAAATTATCTTGGATAAAAATTAGAAGTGGTTTGTAATAAACAATATATGAAAGATGCTTGGTGTTCGAGATTTTTCTGTAGTACGAATCATAGATAAATCTAATGTGAAGTGATAAATACAAGATGAAAACGTAAAATATAGAATCAGATGAAATTAATCATATTACATAAAGATGACTCTAGAAACAAATGAAAAATTCGAAATCTATTAAAGAAAACATTTTTTTTCGATTAATCTTAGTTTCAATTATAAATTCTAAATAAACAAAAGATGAAAAGAAAGACTTCACGATCTTCTTCATTATTAATCTAAACAATTTGCAGAACTATTTATCGTTTAATATCAGATCAATTGAGTGAAGAAAAAAATATTTACAAAACTGTTAAAAAAATGAGGAAGTATTCGAAAAACGGTTCTCTTTAGTTTATTTTAGGTTTGTTTACATGATGGCATATTAACATTTTGTTAGCAACCCTCATAAAATTTACTTATATATCGATGAATGAAATGATAACAAAAAATAGTTCAGAAAAGTTTCTATATCAATCTACGTACTTATCATAAAGTGTTGTATAAATAAAACGAAGATGATTGACAACAGAGCACGTCACAAGACAGTTTTCTTCGTCCTATTTTGCATTCTGGAAGGCATCAAAAAGTTCGTCGTAGAAGAACAAAAGATTCTCTTGTATTCGATTTGTAGGACGATATTTTCCTTTCAGGTTCAATGTCAAATAGTATAGATGTACTATTTATGCAAAAATCGTGTACAATGTATAATCATGTTAATAAACTTTATCACATGTCTTTCAGTAAAGATGAATTGAAGCATAAAAAAAATATTTGACATCCATAAGGTAAACAAGATAATAATAAAACAAAAGTAAAGATACAGGATTCAAAATATAATTAATGTAAACAGATGGACAGCAAAAAAAAGATAAGTTTCATTTTTATTGCTTTTTCTTGAATTTCTCACAAGAACAAATAAATAATATATGATCAAATTGATCTGATGACAAACTTGTTCGTCTTTGAGTGAATGTTAATCCAGTTGAACTCAATAACCTTCCTACAGAAGCAGTAGTCGCCAGTATGAAACTTTTTCTTCTAGCTACTATTGATAATAATGTACAAACCACGAGTTTCATGACTAGACCAGAAATTCATTGGATGACGATCAATGTGATAAGTTGGGTGTCCGACAAGCCCTAAAGGATACGTGTTGCGCAACGTTCTATGATTAACAATATTAATAGAACATGATATACTAATGTATGGTCATTCGAAAAAGTTCGGAAACATTATCGGTATCTTTGTATATAATTAATAAACTAGTTCCATTCATTTCGATCATAACCATTTTTAGCAGGAACAACAGTTCTAATTTTAGCTGCTTTTGACAAAAAACAACAGTGACCTATATTTTTCGCTTTCTTTACCGTTGACAAGATTGTTCTTGTTAATTCTTTCTGTTGATGCATGAGTCATTCATTTATTAAAATATCGGACACATTTGTTTGCAGCAGTTTTTATATCTTTTATCCTTCTTCCTTTCATGTTTTCTCTATTACCTCAAGTTGATATTAGCACGTTTATGGTGAAAAACCATTTTGAAAACTTTGCTTACCATTTTATATGTGCAAGATTTTAGGTTTTTCCATTTTAATGAAGATTTTCGGAGAATTCTCATGTTTCCGAATCTTTACGGATAATTTGTGCTCGCTAAACTCATTTGACTTCTTCTAGAAAATAACAAAAAGAAGTAGAATTATTGAAGACAGTTGTGTGTCTGTCCAACTTCATTTGATGACAGTGAAAGTTGATTTTTTATATGTTGTAGAAAGATTTCATTAACCTGCATATGAGTAAGGTTTTTTCTATTGTTACTATTGCTCACTTCCTTTGTTGATTATGAAGAGAAGAAGAATGAATTTTCGTGTTTCTCATAGTCATGTCGAAAATTAGTCATCGTTTACACGTCGAAGTCAGAACGTTTGAATGTCAGCGCAATACCATATTCCTGTGATTGGTTTATTCCTTATGTATGCTTTTTCCTACTATTACACGTAAAGCATCACATTTTTTTATAATCTGGAGAAAACCAACACACAACATACTACAAAGAGTATAAAAAAGTAAGGATTAAACCGTTTGCATGCTACCTTTCGACACTTCATTGTTACATAGATTACTACCTTCTACCACTATTGTATTGGCATGGCTAGACCAATTGAAGCTATCAGTGAGGCTGAACCATTTGAAATTATTGCTATGCCTAATCCACCCATAGATAAACTAGAACCAACTGGTCAATCTTAGAAGCCCAGCAACTAAACGTATACTAATGGCAGTAATAACTCATGTAACGTCGTGGACTGAACATCACAAAAACTTTTCTCTACATATATCAGCTTCAT